ATGTTCTGTCAGCGTGGATCAAAGAAGGGATGACAGATGTTAGAAATCCAAATAATTTTCTAGAAAGCTACGCATCCTCGTAATCGTGATGAGCACTGTTAACCTATAATTTCATTCTATGTATAACGCATTGCTATACACTATACGTAATTACTCTCATTAACACACCTCGTATATAATTTTTTCCTTTTTTTTTTACTTAAAATGCACATTTCCCGATTGTTCTCCATAAACATACATGCCTCTTCTAATGCGCTCATTAAAACTTTTCTTATTTTTACGGATATAATTTCTGTAATAAGTAAAATTTCTTGAGGAAGTGTTTTTAAATTAGGTCAAATAATAAAAAACTACTGAATCAATAGTCAATCTTGCAGAAATTGATAATTAATTGTAGAAATAATAATAATAATAATTCATAATTGTAGGAATTAAAGAATATTGCTTTACTGATACATATATAAAGATTGTAGAAAAAAGAAATGATACATTTTTTGGGTAAAAAATTGAATAAAAGTGGTTGTTGTATTAGTGTGGATAAGAGGTCACTTTCTAATAAACGCTGTAAAGCGCCCGCGATTGGACACGGACATGATACTGCCACTCTCTGACATTGAAAACAAACTTGCTTTCATCGTCGTTCTTTGACTTCATTTCATTTGTAGGGCCGACTTTTTTTCTTATCTTATTGTCCTTTCATCTTATATATCCTCAAGATAAATAAAATATCGACCTTCACAGCGCGAACCTTGTAATTCAGATTGTATATATATATGTGTGTATACAAATAAAATATTTCAAAAAGTTTCAAGAATTTTTATAATTTATAGATTTTATTATCGAATATCCAACCGGACTTATGTTACATTCTTTGTCTTCATATTTCGAACAACGCGACTATCATTTTTTGAGATGATAAATTATATGCGGTAGAGGTAATGACTTTGAATAAGATCAAAAGATATTTATTGACGTTTTTTCGATTCTTTGAGGAATGGAGACTATAAATATAATCATTCAAGGAACTTTGTCTTAGGATATGAAATCGAGACAAAAAACTATCAAAATTCTTGCGATGCAACAATTTTGATACGTTTTTTGTCTCGATCTCAAAGGATGAAGAAAAAATAAAGATGAAAAAAGAATGAAGATGAAGAAATAATAAAGACGAAGAAAGAATAAAGATGAAGAAAGAATGAAGACGAAGAAAGGATGAAGCTGAAGAAAGAATGAAGATGAAGAAAGAATAAAGACGAAGAAAGAATGAAGTAAGCTGATGAAAGGATGAAAAAGAATTAATGAAGAAGAAAGAGCAGAAGAACTCTTAGTTTGGTCGAAACACGTAATAAATCTCATTTACAGTAATTTATATGAAAGCGGAAACAATTGTGTCTATAAATATTGTCCGAATGAAGCGAATTCACTTGATACTTGTCAGTTATAGTAGTTTTATGAAACAGTAGACTTCAGGTGTCTTTCCTTTTCAGTGGCGACGCGCTTGACTTAGACTTACATAAGCGTTGGTGAGCTATAAGGTATAAATAATACACTAGCCTAAAGACGAATTGTCGAATCAATGATTTAAAAAAAAGACTCAATTAGACTCAATAATTCGTTAACTCGAGAGATCTTAAAGACTAATCGAACACGAATAACTTTTTAAGCGACGCACGTTCTCCGTTTTCTCCACTTCCGGCGCTCAACGTTCCGGTGTAACGACTTCGTCCTTTTTATCTCTGTTGTAAGAATGAAACACAATTGCAGTTTTTTAATTAGTCGCTATTTTTTCATTAGATATGATGGGAAAAAAAACGGAAAATCACAAGAAAAATGACATTCTTTCTCAATATAAAGAACATAGAAGAAAAGGAAAAAGAAAAATTTTCTTCGCGAGATTTTGCAGAAACTTCGAGATTGCAGTTTTCCCGAAAATATCAAAAACTATCAAAAAGTATCAAATTGATACTAAAGTGAATCAAATTGTTGCTGAAAGTCAATTTTTGATTTGATCCATATTTTTGGTATCAATTCATTGCAAATTTGATATGATATATTTACCTGCGAAACTCGGAAAATGTGAGTATCGTGATTAAGGTTTGAAAAACCTTTTTGAAAAATTAACTCTATACTCAATTTTTTCTATTTTCGCGAAAATTTGTAAAACTTGATAAATTACTTTCAGAATTCATATTTTGACACTACTTTTATATTCGATAATTGTTGTCATTCAGAATTCCATTACTCGAAACTTCGAGAAAGTCACTTCTACTCAGAGAGAGTAGAAAATAAAATGTAAATTGCAAAGAAGTTTATAACAATCCCATAAAAGGGTAAAAATAGACAATTTTTATAGATTTTCTCAATTTTTTTATAGAACTTCTATGTAAACATTAAAAACAACAAATTGAATAAAAAGGTTTAAATTAGCCCAAGGAAGCAGTGCTCAGACCAAGGTCAACAATTTCTGAAATTTTAAAAATTATTTACTTTCTAATTAATATTATTATTTTCAAAACCATCTGCACTGGAAAAATATTCATTTGTTTCGCAAGTAATTTTTATTTACACAGTTTTCTTGAAAGTATCAATTTGATATCAAAGTGTCTAAATTGATCAATTGATGCCAAAAATTTGGATCAATTTTTGATTCAATCCACATTTCTGGCGGCAATTCGCTGCAAAGAGAATTTGATTTGAATAAAAATTATTCCATTCAAGTAAATATTTATTTGATAATAAATTTGAGTTAAATAATTTTTCCGTATGATATAGAATAGTAGGTATTCCAAATAAAATGAAAATGATTTATATTTTTTTTCACAATAATTGTTTCATACACTTTAATTTTCATGTTATATAAGGCGAAACAAAATGTAGAGCAACTTGTGCCGATTAAGAGAGTAAAATGCTACAAAACTTATTGAAAATATTGTTTTAAAGAATAAAAAGTATATATTGTCTGCGAGACAACGCCTTTTTGTCGAAATTACACACGAGGTTATTGAACGATGAAAGTGAGAGGACAGACCTAAGTTGAAAAAAAGAGATAAATAAAAATATGTACTTTAGCGGACGGATTCTGTATATACCTGCGGCAATATTTCAAATACAGGTTGAATATGTAATCAATTAATATATGCAAAATTTGATGAACAATTCAAATCTTGAAGTAATTAGTAGACAAAATTAACATTATAGTTTATTTTTTATTATAAATTGCATTTTAATTTATTTTAATTTCAAATTTTCAAGGAACATTCATTTATTACAATTCTGTTATTTTTTGCGGATATGAAAAATCAATTTTCGAATTCTTTATAAATGATGATTATCAAAAATCTAAATTCTGAAGAAATTATGGAAAATTTTTGTTTTTTGTAAAACTTATTGTCGTGATTCATTTAAAATATAATGAAAAAGATATAATGAAAAAAGAAATTTTGCCAGGTTTTAGAATGTCTGCGCAAAAGTTATGCGACTATGAGATGATGAATATTTATAATTTACATGAATATTTTTGAGTCTGAAATTTGTAATATTAAGAAAGCTATTTAATATGTCAAAGTGTTTCTTTATTGTAAGCGAATTGCTTAATTTTTTCGCAAACGTTATATGTATACATATGTATTTGTAAACTATGTCTGACTGATATCGCCTATGACTACTGCGATGCGCATAATGAAACTTTAAAGGGTCGCAGAACTATCTTTTTTTCTTCAATAGTCCGACAAATTTTCAATAATAATTGCTAATGCTGCCATCAAATTCATTTCATTTATTTCATTCATTTTATTCATTTAATTCATTCGATTTAAACAGAAGCTGAAATTGAATTTGTTTTCAAATATTTACTTTAGAAAGTAAGTTTTACAGTTTTCTTCAAATTATCAAATTGATATTAAAGTAGATACAAAATCAAATTGACATGTCAAAAATTTGGGACGAATTTTTATTATTGGTATCAATTCGTTTTGCAATTTGATACTTTTAAGTTAAGTGTTTCATTCGCAAAAGAAGATTAATTTCTTCAATGTTGCTTATTTAGAATTAATAAATTCAAAAATATATTTTTTTTTAAATTCACTTATTAATTTTTAAAATTCGTTTTAATGCGAGTACAATACAAAGTTTAAAAACTTTTCAATCTTTTCGTAAGATTTCTTAAACTTTTACATGTAAACAAGAGATGAATTCAGAATGAAATTCAAGATTAGTGACTAGATATTTCCTTGATTTTGAATTCTTTTTCTAGTTGTTTCTCTTGCGAACTACTTTCCATAAAGAAACAACCATCAAACTCAAAGAAGGTACGAGATCTCGCGAGATTGCACTTCGTGTTTTCTCGGATTTCACGTAGCGAAAGGTGCCTTTTTTACATAATGTCCTCGCTCCAAAACCATTTTTTCACCTAAAAATTTTGTCACTAATCTGCCTAATGAATCACTTTATAATTGAAAATTACAATCTCTCAATACAAGTGCTCAAGAATGTAAATTAAATTAATGCACAAAAAATGTTTTTCTAATTGTATTTCAGAATTTTTTCATAATGTCCATAATTATAGGAAAAAATTACATTAATAAGTATTTTCTGCCTTCTATAAAAACGATGACTTTGATTGATACTTTCCCGCGTGTATTTCTGCAGAAATATTAAATATGACCCAAATTGAGGATAAAAGAGTAGCAGGCACGAACGAACCCAAAAAATAAATTTGATTTTTAATATTCAAAAAATTATTCCAAAACTCGTCTATGTGACAGTTGAAAATCTTGTAAATTCTTACCCTCGTTTTTTATTTACACTGTTCTAAAAGTACCAAATTGCAACGAATACCAAAAATGAAGATCAAATAAAAAATTGAATACATTCAAGAAAACTGTGTATTCAATTGAAGTTGACAATAACAATTGCCCGTCGAAATCATTCGTCTTCTAATTTTCTTCGACACTGTTTTACGTTAAATAAGAATGTAAAAAGAAAATAATTTCCAATCTTACCATTTTCGTAAATCCAAAGAACGTTCCTGACGATGCAGCAGAAAACCAAAAATCGCACTACACTAAATTTTTGTAATAATAATTTACGTTATAAAAGAAAAAAAATAAGAATAGAAAAAAAAGTGGATTACACGAAGGTGAGAAAACCTTTAGTTTTAAGGGCATTCAATAATTGAGGATCATTCTCGCCTCATGATAGCGGTCGTCGCGTGTATTCAGTTGTCTAGCACTGACAGCTGTTCAGGAAATACTGAAACTATCATTCTTAAATTTAGTACGTTTGCCGCGGCAATATTATAGACAACAATTAAGCGCCTTTCATTTTAACTATAGTGGCGACACTGCTATGCACGATGCCCGTTCGTTCGTCGCGAGCACATGTCCAATCCCGATGGAGTTAAATGGGAACGCGAGAGTGAAACGCCAATCCTGGCTGAAAGAAACCGAGGTTTGTTAGAATTCATGCAGTGACCAGCCGAGGACTATACATCACTAAGGATATTTGAACCAGAAATTAAAATAATAAAAAAAAAGTGGTGAAGAAAGGACAGTAGGGGCAGACAGTCTTTTCTACTGTCTTTTCTTCACCACTTTTTTTTTATCTTATACCATTAACCATGGTAAGATTGGCCATTGTATTTTACGAGATTGACACTGGCTTCCGCATTCACTTATAGTCTGTATTATTTTAAGATCACTGAATATTATTCACCAATCGCGAATATAATTATAAAGGTAAAATTTCTTTTTTTCTTTTTCTTCTCCTATCGTAAGATAAGTCCCCAGACTTATGATGAATTAAAATTTGTCTCGCAGTCAATTTTCTTTAAATGTACATTTTGGTTTTCTTCTTCATATTTAGAATATGAATTTTTATATAATGGAAGACAGGAGATAAATCTTCAATTTATTAAAATTAATTTACTTTAAGAAAAGCACCAAATTGCAATAATTAACGAATTGATACCAAAATTGTATATCAAAGAAAATGATCCAAATTTTTAGTATCGATCTACTTTAGTATAAATTTGATACTTTCAAGAAAACTGTCACAAAATAAATGCGTGAAGAATTCAAATTTGCCAATATCTCAATATGAGACTTGTTTTGCAATCCATGGAACAAAAATATTTTGAATATCTCTGTCTATTTATAATTTTCGCACTGTTTGTAAATAAATTGCATAATATTAAAATTTAATTCGCATCCTTGTAAATGTAAACGTCTGTACATGTAAAAAATGATAAAGAATGTTTTTTATAGGTCAATTAAAACTAATGCATTCACTTAACTCTAAATCTTTTTACAAAATTCTCTTTGGTTCATTTCATTATGTTTCTAAACTTTTATTCAAGTTTTCTTTCATAACAACGTTACCTAATTGCAATTAATAAAATTAAAACACAGGCAAACAATTCTATCAATAAATCAAAGCTTAAATTATAACATTTTATCATTCGAGAATATTTATCTTTATGAATATATTTTATAAAAATTGAATGATGACAAGAATAAGTATTCTCCTTGGTATGAAAGAAATTGCATACATGAAAATGAATCACAATGTGAAATAAAGAGAAATCTATTATTATTTTTAGTGTCTTTGACACAAAAAATTTTTCAATTTTAAAAGAAAGACTCAAATCGTTTGAAAGAAGATCGTTTAGAAACATTTTTGGGACTTTGCATTTGACATTCGCAGCATCTTTCAAAATTAAATTATTTTCTACAATTTTTAACTAAACTTCATATTTAAAAAACAATTATTATTTTTAATAATTTTAAATTTGCCGAAAATTCTTCGAGAATTTGATTATTTAAATATAAAAAATTTTTTTATATAATAATTGTAACTGTAACTATAAAAGTTATTAAGGTATAATAACAAAAAAATTATAATAAAGAAATTGTGGAAATTAATATTTTAAATAGATTTTAAATAATTTTTAAAAGATTTGTAAAAAATAATTGAATTTTTGAAAGATATAAAAAAATTTAATTTATGAAGAATTTTAATTTATGAACATGATTTCTCCGTAACAAGTCATCTAAAAAAGTAAATTTTTAAAAATTTTATTTTACTTTATTCGAAGATAATTTGAAACTTGAAAAATTATAATAAAACAATTCTAAGAATTGTTAAAAATATTCTAATGTAATTTTTCAAAATAATTGAATTTCTTTAAAGAATTTTTGTAGGTATATATTTAAAAAAATCCAATTTCTTGTAAAACTGTAATTAAAAATTTTGAAAATGACTGTTTTCTCCAAAATCGTAAACTTGACTATACAAAATTTTAATTGTTATTAGGTATTTTTTCAATGTATTTTGATTTTTGGAAATATGTAATTGAAAATATTGAAAATAATTGAATTTCGAAAAATTAGAAGAAAATTTTAAGAATTATTGTTTAAAAATATTTTAATATAATTTTCACTAATTTTCATTTTCATAAAAATTTGCACTTGCAGATTTTTTATTAAAATTTTTGAGAACTAAATTAATTTAAAAATTTGCATAACTGAAATTCTTCGAAAGTTGATTTACAAAAATTTTAATAAAATACTTGAAAAGAATCAATTATTTTCATTTAAATTTTACAAAAATTTCAATTATTCAACAAATGTTTAATTGTAGGTATGTTTCAAAAATTTAGTTAAAAAAATTATACAAAAAAAATGTTCGAAAGACTTGTCTATCGTTGTTTAACATCAGATTAATTTTTCTCCTTTGAATAAAATCGAGAAATAATTCCAGTCAGTATAAGAGAAAAACTTTTTTTTAATAGATATTTTTAAATGAATAATGAATAAATTAGAAATTGATCTATTAAATCAGTTGTAAATTCTGGCAGCAAAAGTGTCAAAAGACATCCAATTAGAATTAAATTAAAGTAATTAAATGAACAAAGTACTTTTAAACAACACTTGTAATTTTTAAATACGACGTTTGTATTTTCGTAAGAAATCGTTTGAATATACATATTACATAGAATTAACAACTTATAATGATTGACGTACACGTATCAGAATATCGAAAATCAGTTTAATATTGCATCGCGCATTAGCAATAAAAGTACTCTTGGGAAAAATGATTATTATTCGCTTGGGCAGTCTCATTTATCCCAATTACAATAAATAAACTTTTTTTTTCATAATTACATATTAAATACCATTTGCTAACTATTAAGTACAATTTCTTGTTTTAAGTAAATAAGTACAGCTAAATGGTGTGGCGATTCATAATAATAACAATAAATACACAAATTTTTGCAGAAAACAGTACCTATTGTCGTTTATTCTAAGGTTTCATTCATTGAGGAATGAAAAACGAAGCATTTTATTATGTAATTTCAAACAATTGTTGGCAAATTGCTTCTTTAATCAAAATAATGTTATCACAATAAAGAATAAACAATTTTTTTTTTGAAAAGAAGAAAAAAAAATTTTTCATTCCTCAGTGTTAAGATTGCAATTTACTGCGACAAATGTCGAAGCAAAATTATGTTATATAAGACGGATTTTATATTTTTGTATACAAGATTGTAAAAGTTGCGTTTGGAAAAAAGTATATTTCTCACGAGTTCTTTGAATAGTGATAATAGTTTGGTCTGGCAAAAATCATCTTTACCCTCAAATTGCTTCCTTATTTCAGAAGGAATCTTTTTATATTCACATTTTTCGTTTAATGGGAAAATTTGTGGCACACCACAATAATTGTAAAACTAAATTTCAATCATTCTTTTTTTGGTGCAATATTTAAGTTTGGAATTGAATATGTTTTATGGCACTGTTTCCAGCATATTTATCCATATGAATGAAAAAAATGAGAGTGATTTAAAGATTGATGAGGTGGAAGTATAAAATCGAAAAAGGTCGAAGCCACACAGTTCCAAAATCGTAGCAGTTCTCTTCTCTTTTCTATCTTTGGTTTGCGATCTTTGGCACTTGGTCGTCGAACTAGACGAGGGATAATTCCTTTAGAATTTTTTTTTCATTTTTTTTTTTCATTTTTCTTAATTGTCGATCCACGATCTGATGACACGGAGACTTTTCTGTGTGACTCTGGCCATGTAGAGATTTATCATTTCGCCCTTTAGAATTTACATGATTATGCACTTGCCCTTTTCGGCCCAAGGATTGTTCTTCTTATCGGGTGCGTGAATCAAAGGGTCATTCTTTTCATTTTCTTCCACGTACTCGCGCATCCTACAAGAAAATACGAAAAAATTATTAATTTGTTGTGAAAAAATATCATATTTATTACTAAAATTTAAAATATCTACACTAGAATTTTTCCCTATTTTACCATCACTTAAAAAAAATTGTTCCATTTTTATTTTCTTTATTAGTAGGTATATTATGCATATATACACATAAGTCCATTAATATACGCAACTCTGCGACAGCACTTTAACACTTATTGCTTATTAAAATCAAGGTGCTCAAAAATGAAAAATAGATTCAAGGTCCGACTTTTTCTGTCCCCGAAACATATTTCGTACACGTTTTTTTAAAAATTTCATTCATGCCACTCAATGAAACTGTGTACATTATCCCTTTTTACTTAAAATAATCCAGAATAGAAAAATAAAATTAATGGCACTTTAAATATATTTGTCTGATCAAAATATTATTCTTGGAATACATATACAACAAAAGTGAGCTATATTACATCAGATAAAATAAAATTTTGAATAATGTGACAAAATGCCGAAATACCGAAATAAAGACCGGTTTTGTGCTAGATTTGTGAAGCTGTCATTTAAAACTGGAAATTGAGCCTTTCTTTAAAAGAACGAAGTGACTGGTTCATTTCCTGTTCTCAAATGTAAATCACACACCTACTGTATTTGTACGACCGAACAATATGGAGTCATAAAAATATCATAAAAATATTATAAAAATACCGAATTTTTGGAATAGCTAGACTAGCTTTTCTATGGTGAAAATTCCATACTCATTTAGTCATTTTTTATTACTTTTTAATCCATGAAATTCTGGGGAATGAAACCAAAAAACTTTTCACAATATTTCAAGAAAATTGGAATCGTGGCAAGTAAATTACAAATAATCATTGGAAATATTTATTGACATTTCGAGATCGGTATAATAATAATAATAATTATAGTTCTCGCTGTATAAGCAATGTGTTTCCAATTAACTATATATATATATATTATAAAAGAGATTACAGAAGTAACCTACATAACTCGTGATCTCCTGCGAAATGAGAGTACCCAAGAAATCATTCGTTGAGAGTAAGTATTTTAAAAAATGTATAAATAAAATCATGTCAGGAACAAAGTAGGAAAGCTTCCTGAGCATCGCCTTGAACGCAAATCCTCGCTTAGCGCAATTTCCTTTCACTATCTTGACAGCTCACTACACATTCTACCTGTGTATATGTACATACACTTTATATTCATACAATGAAATTTTCATTAAAACTTGTGAGAAGAAATCTTCGACAAAAATATTTAAGGATTAAGTAAAATATATTTCAGTTCGATTTTATACACGCATAATAATAAATTTTCTTTTAACTTTAGCTCCTGCGTGTGTGTATTTTAAAAATTATAATATATTCTCAATAAGTTGTTTTTATGTTCAAGTATTTTTTTCAATTATTGTACTCACTCTCTAAATTTGAATCTAATTTTAAATAAATATTTAATCACGAAGAAATCGATCAATTTCTTCACGATTCATAAATTCAATTTTTCAAAGATTTTAATTTAAACCCTTTTTCAAAATTCAATTATTTCTAAAATTCACTCTATAATGCTTTTAATATTCAATTATGATTTAAAATTTTAAGTGAAATTCATTGTTTAATCACTTTTTTTTTAGAAAATTTTCCGAGAATTCAATTATTTAAATACAAAAATAAATAATTGAATACTTCTTAAAATTGAATTTTTATGAAGAATTTCATCAAAATTTTTTTAAATAATTGAAATCTGATGAAGAATTTTATTAAATTTTTTTTCTGAATTTCTGTGAAAATGTTTATTTTTGAAAAAAAATTGAATTCTTGGGGAAAAAAATAGTTCTGAGAAATTCAATTATTTCAAAAAATTTATAAATAAAACTCTTTTAAAAATTCTATTATTTGAAAACATTTTGACAAAATTCTTTACAAGATTTAGTTAATCAAATTTTCCTATGCAATTCAATTATTTTCAATACAACTCTTCTTAAGAATTCAAATAATAAAATAATAATAAATAATATTTTCTATTATTTTATTAAAAATAATTGAATTGGTGCGAAGAAATTTATAAAAAATTGGTAAGTAATTGAACTCCTGTGAAATTTTGATTAAAATTTTGTTTAAATAATAGAGTTCTTTTGAAAAATTTAATAAAAATACTAGATAATAAAAATAATTGAAATGAGGAAAATTTTTGAAAATAATTGATTTTCAGAGAAAAATTTTATTATTTATAAAGATAATTGAAATTTTGAAGAGAATTTTTTTTAATTGTTGAACATAATTGAATTTATTCTGACTTTAAAAGCAAAAATCAACTTAGCATACATTTTTACTAATTCAAATTTAGAACGTAGTTTTTTTACTCAGAAAATAAATTAAAATGTACTTAAAAATTCTAAATTACAAATTTGATTTAATTAAAATGTCCACCCCTAGTAAAAGAAAGTTGTCGATAAAAATTAGCCACTAATTAGTGTTTAGTAATCAGCCACCTATTTTTGACTATAATTTTATAATTGAGTCGTCGAGTCCAATTGAGTTTTTTTCCATCGAAAAATCAGTGATTAAAATTAATTAAATGAATCAAAGTCCAATGATCGCACTTTAAAGTATAATTGAAATTATATGGTGAAAATGGTGAAAAAAAGGAAATTTTTTTTCTGAAATATTTATTAGTTTTTAATTGTAATTAAAACTGTTTTTTTTCCTAATCATAATTCGCTCTAAGAGCCTGATTCTGAAAAACCAGAGGCACTAGGCTTTGAGCGCCTTTCACTCTGCTCTCGACGACAGCGAAAGTTTTTGCTTTTGCTTTGATTCGCCAATTCGTTAACATCCGCAATAAGTATTGAAACAAACTATGGCGATGGAAAATAAAGCCTCGTTATGCTCCAACTACAATTTTACTCCTGGAATTGTAAAATTTTGCCGCTATACTATCAAATATCAATAAATTGGTGGCAGAAAATCAATTTCTAGTTTTAATTTAATTTGTTTAGGGGAATTTTCATTATTCCTCAGAAATAGTAAAATTTACGGTAGTAATGCATAAAATTTGCATATTGAGAAGTTAATTAGAATTTAGAATAATCTTTTTTTAATCCTCAGTTGAAATAAGAAAATAAATGTGAACTTATTTTAAAAGGTTCATCATTTTGAAAATATTTATTGTACTAGGAAATAATTGGCTTAAAAAAATAAAATTGATATAAAAGTGTCTAAATTGATACCAAACTGATGCCAAGAATTTGGATCGATTTTTGATTTGATCCACATTTTTGGCGTCAATTCGTTGTAGTTCGATACTTTCGAATAAAGAGTGAAATGAACTTTTGGAGTGTCCCATATGCGAGCATAATTTTAATATTACTTGAATTGTTAGTTAATTTACATTTTCAAATTAAGAGATTTCTTTTTCTACTAAAAAGAAAAGTGCTTTGCTACAGAGTCCGAATGATGCAGCTGAACAGTGTATGATAAATTTTTCGTGGTTGAATTGAGATCAACGAGAAGACTCCCTCTCCGCTTTCTCGTTATATAAAATCGAGTTGAACGTTTAGGTTATTTCATTTTCAGTCAATGGCATACATAAGTTGCGTTAGATCATCGACCGGTGGCCACACCAGATCAGTTCTGCGATCAATTCGCATATTTGTGAGAATGTCATTCAGTCCCACAAACTCGAAAAGAGATCAGGTTCAAACTTGATGCATTAATTCAATAATTATTACGTCTTACACGATTATGTCAGCATATAGTATTATATCATAATCATAATATAAATGTTCATTATCCTTTACTGTAAGTATTGCCTTCGATATTTTTTTTAAACTGATGTTCAATGGCAATTTAACCGCATTTTGCGGTTTTGCATATATGCAATTATAAACATCTTATTTATTACATTCAAATATTTCTATTACTTTATTGTGGAAAATAATAAAAGATAATTTAATTATTTCTAATGCGTCCGTATGGAATTGATTTTCTCTTCAGAATAAATTCAGATTGTTGAAGACAATTGAAAATCATCAATTCTTACTAAGAGTCCGTTTTGAAACAATGTACTTTTCGTGTATTTTTATTATATGTATATAGCTTTATTTGATTTTTTTAAAAACAGATTGTGAATAATTTTATTTTTTTAAAGTATCATCCGAAGGTTAAAGGACTACCTAGATTTTTAATTTTCTGTCTTGAATTACTAAAATAAATAAAAGTTTATAGTTATATAATCAAAATTGTTTATCTTCATAAGATTGTATTGATAAGTAAAAATTTTGTAGAATATTACCAAATTCATCATTAAAACGAAATTGAAGTCACAACGTTCGATTAACGATCAAAATTTGTTAAATTTATTAGAACTCTCTAAATTTGAATTAGTTACTGACATTTTGCTTTTGAATTAGTAAATTCAATTAATTTTACTAATAAATAGTAATTTCTACTAATTCATTCAAATTCGTAAAATTTACCTATTCAAAAGCAAAAAGTTAGTCTATTTATATTGTTAATAAAAAAAAAATGCTGTCTAATTATTGTTGCACAGATCACTTTTCTTTTCCCTCAAAATACTCTCTAGATTTTGCTCCATTTTCTTAATTCTTAATACAACAGAAAAATAAATAAAACGAATTTAAAAAATTAGAAAAATAAATAATTAAAAAAAGAAGAGTTCTGAGGAGTTGTTTAACTAAAAAAATTCGAAACTAAAATCCTATTTTTTAAAATCAATGCCGCTGCTGCTGATGACACATTATCATCCCATAAAAACATCAGATGGATATACAAAAATACAAAATTTAAAAAACAATGAATTATCATAGAATTTAAGGCCCAAAAAATTTGTTTTTAATGTTAAAAGTAATTTTGAAAGAAACTTACGCTGCAATACTTTTTGATAAGGGCCATCTCTCCATAGTCGCTTGATATTTCATGTTCTCAATTTGCTTCTTCAGTGCGTCCTTATCCATGTTGGCGAGAATACTGGGATCCATGGTAACAACCGCACCCCCCTGTTTTAGCCAAGAATCACGTAGCGCTTGCGCCTATTGAAAAAATCAATAACATAGTACATATTCAAAGATTTAGGAAGAAAATAAATACCACATTTTTGTTGCAAACTCTTATTTTATACAAACTACTTTTTGGGGAATTAATAATTAGAATCTCAATAGTCATTAGTTTCTTTAGAAAAAAGTATAATTTTGTACGGAAAAATTTGTATCACTACCGAGGGTGGTTTTAACAGAAAATACAAAACAGTCTCTACGTGACGCTTTTAATTAGAAATAATTATAATTATACAACTGTTCCAAAAAATAATATTTTTCAAATTAAATAATATACAGCTTGATTGTTGATAAATATTTTTATTGCATATTTAATGTAATGCATAAAAGACAACGAAATTCATTCATCTTTGCCTCCCCTTCTGCTCCCCTCTAAAAGATCGAAGTTGTACTCCAAAACGTTGATTAACGAAAAATTATTTTCAATAATAACTCAAAATATATAATTTTTTATATACAATTATAAGTTAAAAATAACGCAACAATGTTGTCACAAAAATATATAAAAAAGATTCTCACACTGAAAAAAATTTATTTGATTCAAATAATCGATTACTTGACTACAATCAATTAAATATTTTTTTGAATCAAATAATATTTATTTGAGTCAATTAAACGATATTTACTTCAAATCACTGTTAACGATTTGATACCAAAAATGCGGATCAAATAAAAAATTGATCTAAATTTTTTGTATCAATTTGATATGGTTTCAAGAAAAATCTGATACTGAAATATTTGGTTCACATATCTGAACTCGTAGAATTTTACTAAAAAATAGTAAAATTTTACTAATTGTTAATAGTTTTCATAGACGACTCTTCCTCTTTTCAATTAGTAGAATTTTACTACTTTTTTACTTTCTAAATTTGAATTGGTAAAAATGTTTACTAATTTCAATTAGTGACTGACTTTTTGCTTTTGAAATAGTAAACTTCACTAATAAATAGTAACTTTTACTAATTTATTAGTAAAATTTACTAATTCAAAAGCAAAAAGTCAGTCACTAATTCAAATTAGTAAACATTTTTACTAATTCACATTTAGAGAGTAGTAGAATTTCACTAATTTTACTATTTCACCAAATGAATTAGTGAAATTAATTAAAAATTGAATGTAACTGTTATTAATAAAATTAATAACAGTTCTACTAATTATTACACAATTAGAATTAAATTTAATTAAATTTAAATAGAATTAATAATTGTAGAATTCTACACAGCAATTTGTAAAATTTTACAAACAATTAGTAAAACTCCACTAATTGTTAGTAAAATCATTTGATGGACGATTTTTCGTAATTTAATTAGTAACTTTCTACTAATTCAGATTTAGAGAGTTGATTCAAATAAAAATTATTTGATTCAAGTAAATATTTATTTGATAATTTTTAAGTAATCGGTTTTTTGAATCAAATATACATTTCTTTTTTAGTGAAAATTGTAATTTCTCAGAAATAATATTTGAATACGTTAATAAGTTTTTTTCGTTGATCGACGATGTGGACTTGAATATCGTCTGAAAAAAATTCTTAATACTATACGAAAGAAGAAAATCTTTTCTTTCTTTCGTAGTAGGATGAATTTTTGATTTCAGTTTATATGTTAATGAAGAATATTTTTTTCGGAGCATATCTCACTATAAACCCTTTATAATAAATTATACTACTTAGTTTTGGAAAAAACTGTAATTAATGAATTTAAAAAAATATATTTTTGCTTCACGTTTTAAATATTTTAAAATATTTTACACTTTACCTTTGTCGCGTGTTTTTACAAGGTATATTTATTTCAATAAATTGCATTTGAAAAAGTCATGCAACCCTCTATAGAGTTACATTTGCGGCATTTAATAAAGAGGGCAAGAAGACTTTTAAAACTTTTAATACATCTTGGGTAACTTCCATTATATATATTATAGATTCAAAATTCTGGGAAAAATTTGATAAAATTGATCGATTGAAAAAGTTGAATTAGAAAAATAGACGACAAAATTGATCAAAAAATTGATTTTCGTCAAAGAAACAAACAAATACATAAACAATTTATTCAGATGGGTTCATATATTCCCTTTACTAAAAAAATTATTTATTCAGGTGAATCATATCGAATTATTATTTATCTTTATCTCCAAGTGACGTAATGTATAATAGATTAATGATAATGATTTTAAAATTTTAAATGTAAAAGTTGCGAATAAAATATAATTTAATAAATATAATTACATTGAAAAAGTTATATATTTATTTGTACCTGGTAAATTCAAAATTGTTTTCAAGCTTTTAAAAACTTAGATATAGAATTTCCTTATCTATGATTCATGTGACTGTCGTAAAAAAAGAAAAAAATTATTAAATTCCAAACAACTATTCGCGAAGTTCCGCAGGGCAAAAACACTTTCCTTCCCTTTCGAAATAAATGCAACTACATATACGTCACAAATCAACTAGGTATCACAAATCGTTTTCCTTTCCTGTTTTTTTTTTTTTTTTTTAATATACAGATACAGGTGTTACAAACACCTATTCACCGAAGAAGACTGTTTATGAATTCGTATTCAAGAAAATTTTCTGTTGACATTAGCTACAGGGCCGCAGTAATTAGTTTATTTTCACTGTGTACTCATTTCAAAGATAACGTATTGAGATTAGTTATTTTTAAAATTACGCAATTTTAATTTTAAAATTAAAATTACATCTTCTTAAATTTTAATATCAAAATTAAACCACTTTCTGTATTTAACTGTATTTCTATATATATTATTTCTTTTATGCATTACATAATTAAATTTACTTCAGATTTTAAAATACTTGGGAATTTTTACAAACTTTTGGTTTAGTTTCAGTTTCAGTTTCAATTTTTAAGTGTTAAGGGAAATTGATAGATTTTGCAAAGAAAAAATAACTAAAAGATTTTTGTATTAAATAATGTAAAATAATCACTTTACTTACTTTCTTGAGAGATGGAGTAATTCTGAAGAGAGGTGACTCTTAAAAGGTTTCACTATTCATTTATGGAAACCTTATAAAACATAGAATCCAATTTTGTTCCGTCATGTCAATACGGAGAATTACAAACTGTATCAACTGTACATTTCATGAAAATTGCTTTCAAACCAATTATGAAATAACTTTCAATCACTATTTTTCATTTAATTTTCATAAAATTCATATTCGCATTCAATCATGTTGCAAATGTAGTTGCAAATTAGCTTCTAAATATTTCTTTTACAAAAAAAATATTCAAAACAGACTCGTATGTTATCTTTTTTTATTTAAATCCGTCATTACAATTTTAACTTCATTAATTCTCAAAAGAATATTTTTTTGAAAAGATTTAGTGGATTTAGTGAAGAGATATTTTATTCTCCAAATTTCAAATTTTCAATATTCGCTCTTGGTTTCGATACACTTTCTTCTTCGACTATCGATTTCAAAGCGCGAAATTTAAAAAGTGTTACTAGAATTGGTGTTAGAAAATAAAAATTACCAATTAAGAGAAAAGTAACATTTAGTCATTAAAATAATACTATTTTCTTTTTAAAATAAGTTGATAATATTTAAACTTACCCACAAAGGAAACTTGGCAGCAAAATTGTTGCAAACTTCCAGAAAAATAGTTTGCTATATAAATAAACGAAAACTAAAAAAAATCCTATTTACAAATGTTTTATTCACATGTATAACGCTTTTTATAAAATCATTATTACTTCCTTAATATTTGAAATTTGAAAAAATATTTTAAAATATGCACCTTTTAGAACAGTTTCCAAGGCAACGATATCAAGTGTTATGAGCGTGTTTTAGAGAAATCAACAAAACAAACAAGTAAGTAACAACAAATTATTTTAACAATCGTGAAAAAGTAAACAATTTTTACTATTTTTTAAAAATTATTTTACTAGATTTAATACTTTGATTTATTGTAAATTGTAAATAATTTGAAATATTCTTCTTCCTCCGCAATAATCAATACGCGATTATATACGCATTTGTTTCCTTTCGTTATTTTTATACTAATCCGATAAAATTGTCATAAATTTTATTAAGGTACTATATGATAGCGTGCAGCTAATCGCTATAGTTTTAAAGAAATAAATTAAATGAGAGTTTACATCCAGTCCAAAGTCACTATTATTATTTTTAATTATTTGACAATAAATAAAAATGACATATTTACATCAAATATGTTTTCATTATTTTCAATGCTGTATTTTTGAAACATGTCCTTGATTTACATTTCTTTTTTAAACTTCGTTTACTAAAATAGTTTTTACAACTTCTTAGATTTTTTCCAGATTAGTAAAATTTAAATTCCAAGAAATTGTCAAGTTTTAAATAACTTTCTTTAGAAACTGATTGTCTTAATTTGTCGTGAATTTATTTAATATTAAGTTTCTCCTTTCTTTTATATTTTCAAAACTTCTCTATAATTATGTAGCTACATACTAATATTTAACTATAAGAATTCGCGTGCCTTCAATATATCAGCGACATCTCCAAGACTAACTGAGAAGAAATTATAAGAGCAATTTTTTGACAAATGATATTTAGTTTATTGTCGGGCTTTGGCGAATAAAGAGCAATATTGTCAATATATTATCCATTTTTCTAATTATAAATTTTATTTTATTTTATTTATTCTTGAATACGACGAAAGTAATAAAATCTCGAATCAAAATGTTTCGACGAAAAAGAGTACTAATTAATATTAAATAAAATAAAATTATTAGATAATTATTTGATGTGTTAATAGTAGCGAGTGATTAATTTAAATATTTATTTCAAGGGAGGACTAACCACCACTCGGAAAATGGCAAAGAAATCTCAGCCAGCAGCTCTTCAGGCTGAAGTTTCTACTGATGAAGAGTGGGAAAAAATTTTAGAAAAGAATGGTTTACTAGGTATGTAAATGCTTATTTCGATAAAAATGTAATTATTCACTATTCATCTTTCTGCTTTCTGCTTTCTTATTTTATTTATTAGCTATATAAATATATTGTAATTGAATTGCATACGTAATTTTTCCATCGACATAGTTGCTGACATTTATTCCGAGTGGAGTGGTCCCTGCACTGGAATGGTGAGCATTTTGAAGAAAATAAAAATGGAAATAGGAGGCGACACACTCAACTATGCTATCGTAATGAATCGAATAAATAAAATTACAAATATGAAACGCGCTTCGAAGAAAACTATCTAAGAACTCGTCATTTTTACCTTTAAAATTTTCTGTGTTTAGTTTAAAACCAAAATCAGTTTGGTTGATTATTTCAGATCTAATGGCAATTTAAACCTATCGTTTTTAAATTTATATCGAAAGACAATTTTCTTTGTGAAGTAAAATTGCAATCATAATCTCCATTTTTTTCTTCGGAGCGCGCGATAAATTTTTTTCAACTTATAGCAGTGAAATAATATTTTTAAAAAGAGAATATTATTCTTTCAGGTCAAGTGTGATAATATCGCTTCTTTAGAACGTTTCAGAGGCAAAAGTGAACCCACCTGGATGATAATTCATGTAAATACAACTCAGTTATAATTAAAAAAGTTTTTGAATATTTTTATTAGTTTTTTGCATTTTAATTCAGAAGGGTCAAATGGTGAACCTTGTATTCGGTGCCAACTGTCCGGAACTACTGAGAGTTTTGAATATTGAATTGGAAAGAGTACTAAAAGGAGAACCGCACGAGTACGTATAAATTTATAACAATTTTTCCAACTTTAATCTTCAAAAAAAAATTCAGTTTTAGCATTCCCGTTTCTCAGCGAAGTCCAGAGGAAGAAAATAGATTAAAAATAATCGAAGAATCTAGATTAGCGAAAGAGACTGCGAAAAAAGCACAAAGAGGTAGAAAATTAGAAAATTTACAATTTATCAAAGTTTAATTATTTATCAAAATAATCGAATTAAAGATTAATTATTTAATCAAGGAAAATTTTAATTTTTGAAAATAATTTTTTTTTAATTCCATAGAAGCTGAAGCAAAAGCTAAATACGAAGATGAAATAAATCATTTGACAGCATCGTTAAAAGCGGAAACTTGTCTTTTACTATATCCATGGATTTTGAAAGATGAAGAAGGGCACAAACGTGACAAAAAATCCAGTCCACCTTACATTAATCTTGTTGATGAAATTTTTCCTGAAAACTTCAGCATTGAACAAGAATTTAGAAAGTCTATTGATGAAAATATGCTGATCGAAATGTTCAAAGAAGTAAATATTTTCAATACCTAATTGATAAAAAATTATTCTTCGATTTTAAATGATTAAACCTGTTTTATTAAATATCTTTTTTGTATTGTGCAGTCGGACTATAAAATACCGAAGGAAGACGAAGAATTATTATTAGACGGAAAATGTATTTTCATGCGTCTGAAAATCAGTGGAAAAAAGGCCGAACTTGATGTCGAAAAACACTTAATTAGCCTTTTGTTCGGAGAACCGAATTTTCCCAAATCAGATCAAGAATTAATTGAAGGATCGTGAGTAATATCTTTTTAATTAATGTTCCTATTTCCAAATCTTGAAAAATGTTCATTTCTATATTTTCAGTTATGTTCATAAACATCAACCAACCGCAATACCAAGTGACAGAGAAAATCGCAATTTTCCCCTAGTATGGACTCCTCTAAATCCTCGAAATAAAGCACTAGTGTTCAAATTAATTTTCCGCAAATATTTGGATTCTACATACCCTGTGAGAAATAATTTTGTCACAATTTCTATTTTTTTCAAGGAGAAACTATTTTCCCTTTTTTATCTGAATATAAAGAAATATTTTATTTGACTACTGTTTCACTCCTAGAATAATTTACACAATCAAACTCTGTTTTTTCACATTTCAATAAAATGTCGAGTATTCAAATAATTTTATATCTTAGTATGAAGATAAGACTTACAAAGTTCCCATAATTGTATTCAAATATGATAGTACAAGGAAAAACGAACTAAAAGTAGTTTTGGAAATTTATAATTCGGAAATTGTCCACTTTGGAGTATTTGAACGAGACAAACCACCTGAAGCAAAATTAATTGCCACAAATATTGAAGAATTTGAATCGATGACTTTTGAGAGGACCAGGTAATACTTTGATAAATTGACTTATTGTTAATTTAATACAATTTAAAAAAATTTTCTAATTATTTAGCTTCGAAACTTTTGTTTGTGCTGTGAAGAAAGTCGGTTCTGAGGCATTTCTAGCTTTTGCTGGTATTGGTCCTTATCATGTAAGCGAAAATCCAGAAAAGGCTATCGAGGAATCAAAATTATATTTCCCGACTGTAACATTCACGGAGGATCTACCATCTGATGACGAAGAAAAGTTAGAGGACGCTGAATTAGCCCCGGATGGAAAATCAGATTCAGAGACGGTAATTAATTTTAATAATTAAATTTAAGTCAATTTGTTGAACATAAACTTTTTCTCATTTTTGCAACTATTTTAGAAAAACGAAGATACGAAAGGACACTAAAATAATCTAGGAATTATCAAAAGAATTTCGATATTTGTTTCATCAAAATTCATATTTTACTATGTTGTGAGATAAAAAGAAAGTTTAATTAATTAAAAGTCTGATTTTTGAAAGAAATTGTAACACATTGTGCCAATATTTATTTTCCACTAACCTTATACAAAGAGAACATAAAGACAAAAATTGCCTTGTAAGAGGTTTGTTGTACAATAAATTTCGGCGATGGATTAAATTACTTCTTGTAGCCACAGCTACGCCTGCGGCCTCTGGCTCTTTCAAACTTGCGTCCCTTAGATCTGACAAGGGGTTTGGTGTGTGAGTGTGGTACACCAGGAGCTAATCCAAAGTGTTTGACGGCTTCACGAGCATTACGTCTTCCTTGAAGCATAACAGTTTTACGGCCAGTAGGAGAGCGCAGAGCAAGTTGATCGAAAGTGATAATTTCACCTCCTGCTTTCAAAATTCTGCCTCGTGCCTTTTCTGTCACTCGCAGGGCACACACCTGCGAAAAAGATGAAAAAATTAGGATTAAAAACTTGTTTTTAAAGACCATTCAAAATAAGGTAATTTTCTCAAATCGAACTATTCGTATAGTTTTCTTTTTCATTTCAGTTTGTTGGAAATTTAATTATACTATGAATTTCTATTTGATCTTTCAAATATTTAATAAAACTAAACATACCGTAAGTTTTGGAACATCAAAAATTCTAGCATCATCCGTCACTGTGCCAACGATAACTGCAATGCAGTTTTCACGACCTGGCTTTTTCATCAATCGTACAACTCGTGCTAGAGAAATCGGTGGCCTATGAATTTTACTCATAAACAGTCTCTTGAGAACGATTTTATTGAACTTGGCGTTCGTTCTTCTTGCCAAGAAGCGGTAAAGCTGAAAGCAATCAAAAATTATAAATCGTTCTACAAACAACGCAAACTATTTATTTTATAGCCATTTTAAAAGTGTATCAGCTAGAATAATCGTCTTTTAAATAAACATAAAATCCGGAATAGGATAGCTGAAATTACTCTAGCGAACATTCAAATTGGACTAGTCTCTTAAATTCAGACTAACACAGAGTGCAGTTCGCAAATAATTCCCCTTTTTATTAAAAATAAACTATTAATTGCAATTTGATAAAATGGATAAAGTAAGCCACGAGTTCAACATAATACAAAGGAGAACATAACCTCAAAACAGGTTAAGTATTGCAAGTACGAAAAATACAATTTTTGACAAAAAAGTTAAAATTGTTTTAATATTTTATCGATTTTATCTAAAAAAGGGATCTAAACTAACATACAAAATATAAAAAAACTAAATACCTTGACAAGAAGTCGCAAATAAACATCCTGTGATCTTGGTTCTGTTCGACGCACCTTTCGGTCATGTTTATGATTGATGTCGATACCCTAAAAATAAAACTTTTTAGTAATTCCAACAGATAAATTTCTTCTGCACTATATTGTTTTTACATAAATTTATTATTTGCACAAGAATAAAAGATGTTTCTGGATTTAATCGACGAATTCGGAAATATGTATCCTCTTACCATTTTGACAAATCGGAAAAGACATCCAGGTGGCGCTCCGCATACAACAACCAAATTCAAATAAGCGACTCAAACTCTCAATCACTGAAAATAATAATATTAAAACGTTGAAAAATTGTTTTATTTTACTGAATAATTCAAGTATAAAAGGGTAAGTTTAAATAAATTGCGCATAGTTTTGAAATTATAGTTTGACAAAAAAAATTAGCTTGAAATTTGGAAAGAACTGTTGGTAAGGTTGATTATCTAGTAAATTGATTGATATAAATTATAAAGATGGCACCACTTGGTCAAAAACTAACTTAAATTTCTCTTTTCCTTATAGATGAAATAATTTCTTTATTCACTAATATCACATCTTATTAATACTTTTATAAATTGTAAAGTAATTTTGAAAATGATGCACTAATTTTAATAAAGTAATAACTCTAAAATCTAATTTCTGAAGAAAGTGCAGAATTGAATGTAGACAATTTAAAAATAGTGAACTACAGTGAAAGTGAAATAAATTATTATTTTAACGGTTCGAATATTGTCGTTATTGTTTTTCATTGTTTAATAATAATAACGTAGAAAAGTTTCATTTATTACGTTTTACTCAATTTAGGTATTCTAGTGTTAAAAGTTATGTTACAGTTAAGAAAAAACTATACTGAGAAGTTATAATCTTTACTAACGATAATTTAATTTAAAAAGAGAACCTAACCTAAAAGCCGGCTAATATAAAAATATTATACTTATTCAGTTTATTTAAAACAAAAAACCAAGATCACTGAATTATAGTGACCAAAAGTGATTTTTAAAATTATTTAAAACAATGATCTTTGAAAGTCAACGCGGTCAACGCGGTCAACGCTTATTAAAACCCTCAAAATATAATGGAAATCAAGTAGGCATGCATGGTACGTAAACGTATTTATAAAAATGATAAAAATCATAAAAATTTTTCTCAATTCTACTATTGGGTTTTTTTCAAATAACTGCTAAATTAAATAATTATTAAGCACTACTTATATGTTTAATGAATTATATTCTATTTTACAAAATTTAAAAGAATAGATTGCGTATACAATTATTTTTATTAGTTTAGTTTTTTTCTTTAAAAATTCTTTTGAATTAAAGATGTGTGTGGTCGAAGAGATGGATCTGGCAAAAAATTTCCGCCAAAAGTTGTTTTCTTCCCTAAATTTACAAGTTGAATTTCGTCTTGAGATCTGAAATGTAAAAATATATATACGTGACCTGCACTTCTATATTTATAATTTGATTTGTGAATAAAAATTTATAGAAAGAGAAAAATATACTTTGAAGAATTTTTTTTGTACGCGATATTGTCTTTGGCATTTTTAAAATAAACTCCCGTCGGACTATCTTTATTCAATGTTCCATTATATATTAATAAGTCGTCTACCAAAATCTGAAAACCAAAAAAATATATTGCACAAATAAATAGTAGGAAAAATAGAAAGACTTGTATAAGACCTACATACACCGAATTCTTTAACTTTTCTTTGTGGAGTTTTTCCGTAATTCCAAAATTTTATTTCAGACACAGCAACTGGATGGTAAAAAATTATATAAATTCTATTAATCTGAAATGAAAGTATGTTATTATATGTTTCAAATATTAAGCTTTCTGTCTTGTGGAAAATTAATATTATTATTGAACTATTGAAATTTCTCGATGATAAATTAAATTCTATGCAATGCGCACCTGTCCTGGAAAGATTGGTGCTAACCAAGAATGTTGACCGTCACAGGAGTCGTGAACGTTATCAATAAGTTTATCTGGAGTTCTTATATCGTTATCCATTCCCTCTAAGACATTTACGCTTTCTGGATAAGCTGCAATATCTGAAAGAAAAAAATAAATAAAATGAACTTATTTCGTTTGAATCAAATTTTTGCTTAAAATTTTTTTTCTTTAAATGTATTAATTTAATATTACTTTCTTCCGTGAGTAAAATCTTTTGACCTTCTGCGTCGTACATTTCAATACTATTAAGACCAACATAATAAGGATCTCCCCAAGTTGAAAATATTACTATTTGATAAACAAATCCAAAAGGCACTGATGTTGCTTCATAATCCAGATCTTCGCTCGAATCTACCAATATTACAAAATATAAAAAATGTTGTTACAAATATTTTCTTGTTTTTAATTAAATTTACATATTTTTAGAATAACCTTCAGGTGTTATGGAATGATGCAATCCCGGCTGATTTGGAACCGTCATTTCAGTTGTTGGAGGATTTATCAGGCTAATTTTTTGCACAAAATCATAATGACAACATCCAGGGGCTCTTCTTAAAATAAATCCATCGATGAGATCGAAAACCGGTTTTCCATCCAATTTCACAACCATTTGTTTTACCTTAAAAGTATAAAATAATTTTTATTATTTTTCATCGATAGGAAATTAGAAATTGTTTACTAAAGAACAAAGAAATTTCCTTCTTTGTAAATTAATTACCCCACAATAAGAAAGATCTAACGAAGCATTGTAATTCCAAATTTTAATTCCAGTGACAAAAATTTCTTTATCAAATTTAATCGTTACTATGACTGTAGTGTCGATTGAAAATCGAGTCGCCCACATATGATTTTCATCAATTGTTAAATTACGTCCATCTATAAGTCTCATTAAATTGTCATTACCAATGTTGCAGGTTATTTTTGCATGAGCGAAAGAAATTTGTGTATCTTGGTCAGTGAAAAGTTCTATTCCTGTTAATCCTGAAATAGTTTTTTGAAATTTATCTATTTGTTCTATTAATCATTATTAATTGTTTATCTTACCTATCATATTAAAGAGACCCCAGTTAGAAATGAATACAAGTTGAATTTCTTTGCACGATATTGACATTCCATTTTCATTTTCGCCGAGAATCTCAGACCTTTTAGCATGACATGAAAATGAATCAACTTCCTGTAAGGATTAAAAAATCAAAGTGTTTATATAGTTTCAAATTAAACAAATTAATTAAAATATTCGTTATTTAACATATTTGTTATTTAATTAATTTTTAAAATTACAGTGCCAGTTTTGGGTCTATCAGCTTCTGTATCAACGTCATAATTACATTCCCCAAAACTTAAATCATTTTCTGCTATTAACTCCAGAATATTTTCGTCAGTTGTAAACAAAATAGTCTGCAATAAAAAATATTCGATTAACATTGCAAAAAATAATAATTGAAATATTATTTCATTTTTGTTACCCACGTCACCGAATGAGTCGATACTGCCAACGATATCACCACAAGCTCTTGCAATTTCACCGTCAAATATCTTGATTTCATCCAGTAAAATAATTATATCTTTTGCTCCTCTATAAGAGTGTATTCTCGATTTATTGTAATTCTGAAAAACAATAAGCATACAATTTTTTTTAAGAATTTGTAATGCTTCGCGTCATATTTGTTTACATACCCAAATTCGTATCATTGCAACTCGAGTAGATTCTTCAAAATGTACATGAATCAAATGATCATTTCCACTTATAAAAGGAGATAACCATATATTAGTATCATCTCTAGTTCGATTAATCCCATTAATCAGATTGCTAATACCTCGAGGATCATTTTTATCTTCAAGCATTTCAGACGGTTCAACATAAATCTAATTATAAAAAAGAATAAGAAATAAAGATTCTAAAAATCTTGAAAGGCGAAAAACTTCTTAAGAATAAGATATTACCTTCTCTATAATTATAGGTTTACCCAATTCAGAAAATATTTCTACTCCATTTAGGCCAACGAATTGTTTGTCTCCCCAGGTACTTAAAATATTAATCATCAATGATTTACCAAATGGTAATTCTGGAATTATAAAATCCGTCTCTGATTGCTCCACTGAAAGTAAAGTATTCTTCTATATATTGCTTAATAAAAATTAATCATTATTATGTAGTTAGAAAAACACTAACCTGAGAATTTTTCTTCACTATAGAGGAAATTAACAATCAAAACTAATATTTTCATACATCGCGTGGGATTTTTTTCTCAATAACTTGTCTTTATCTAATTGTATTCTTTCTTTATCATCATTTTTTAAAAAAATATTTTCAAAACACAAAATTTAAAATAGAAAAAATAACGAACCTTCCGCTGATCCTTCTTCATGACGATAGATAAAATCAACTTTATTTTCTCCTACAGTAGGATCTTGAAATTTCCTCTCGTACAAATCTTTACTTTTAACATCACATTCGACTAAAACTTTTGTACTTTCTTCTTGGATTGGAATTTTTGGCGCGAATCCTGCTAAGTAATCCAGTTTTCTTTTAATAACTCCTGGGAGAAAAAATTGAGAGCAGTTTAAAAGTAGTTTAATATCTCTATAGTAAAGCTAAAAATTGTTTAATATAATAATAAAGAACCTGTCGGTAAATATGGTGTGACTTCCGATTCACTTTTTCGATGTATATCAGAATGAGCAATTTGTTCTTTATTTGGTGCGTATCTATGTTTTTCTTTCTCCTGATAGGAGACTCGTTTTGATATTCTGAAGGGAGAATCTGAAACTGTGTACTTTGCTTTTTTTTCATCCAAGTACTTATCCAATTTTCCTAATCTATCTTTTTGCTCAGCTTGGTAAATATCGTTTAAAGTGAAAAATGTCCGATTCACTTCATTTGATTCACGACTAATTTCCTGACGTGGAGAATTTGGAAGCGATTTGGCAGTGGATTGTAAAATTACATTACAATCCGAATTCTTAAGTTTGTGCGTTGAGGTAAAAAACTCCTCTTTTCTTAAAGGAAAATAAACATCACATTTTCTGAACTATTATTTATTATAAAATGTGAAAATTGTAAAAATTTACTTACTCTTTTACTGACTTTTCTGCATTGAATTTATTTTCAACAAAAGGTTGAAAATCTGGTTTGATTAATAAATCTGCATTTGGTTCAATTCCACTGGTTTCTTGTAGATTTAACCTTTTCACTGTTCTGTAAAAACCAATGGATTTGTATTCATTTATTGTTAATTTATTATTTTATTTCTATTTATTACTATTAACTTCATAGTAAATAATATATAATTTTACATACTCTGTCATTTCCAACAACCAAGGAGGCAATTTGTTGGAGATTCCCACATAATTCAAGTCTTCTTCGTTAGTGATTCTATCCATATTCTCCAAACCAAAAATTCATTAAAATTTAAGAGTTGTTTTTCTCATTGAAAATAATTGGCAAAATTGTCAATTTGCTCTGAATGGTTAAATAAATTTGTACACTAAATAATTTCCTAGGTTATGAAATATTGTTGACGAATTGTAATCAGATGTTAGATAGATAAACAAAATTACATTAAGATCGTGATGCATTTGTCTCGACTAAAATTATACATGATTTGAGAAAAATTTCGAAAATCATTTCACATCGATATTAATAATTTTGTGTGTGGACACTTCAAAGTGCACGAGGTGCACGAATACTAAATTGACAGAACTTGATAAAAATTCTTCATTGTTGTCATGGTCGCCATGGTTACTTTAAGATCAAAACAATACATGTGCTTCATTTCACTTGCATTTCACGCCTATATACATGAAATGATTGAAATGTCATTGCTCCCAAACAATTTTGTATTTTTAATTCTTTAAAAATTTTAAAATATAGAAACCAAATAATTTTTTAAAAATTGTTTTCTTATTTACAGGACCTTTTTGCCTGTAAAAATGATTAAATTAAATAATTACGATTACATACAAAGAATCAAAATTAATTTAAACAAAAAGTGTAAAAATTGTGTGAAAGGAAAAATAAAAATAAAATTTTTATGAAAATTGCAATAAGTGAAATAATTTTATATTGATTTATATTATTTTTTATTGAAGAAGAGTAAGGGTAACAAGATTGCTTATCATTATCAGTATACTCATAATATCTATTTGAAACTTTTAATCTCAAGCGAACTGAGCAAAACGTTGATTCAGTTGATTTTTTAAGAAAATTAATTAACATATGAAATACGTATTTCAATCGTATAGCATTTTTATTAATTAACAATTAAGAATTAAAATTTTTTTAAATTTAGACAATTATTTGAAATATATATAACTGAATTTTGTCACTCTTTAGGCCTATAAGAGCAGTAATTACTGCTTTAGTTGTTTTTATTTAAAGTGAAAAAATGTTTTTTTTCCTTTTTACTATGTATTTTGGCGCTTTTATTTGTTTTTTTCAAATATATATAAAAAATGTTCTATAATGAGACTAAAAATTATTTTCTGATTTTGGCACTGTTTTACAAAAAAATAATTTAACATATCTTACACAATTTTCTCAACTTAATCTCAAGTCTTAGATTATTACTATTATTTCTAAAATACAAAAATATTCTAATTTAATTTTCTCTATAAATCATTTTCAACAATATTTTGAGATCAAAAATTATTTAATAATAGATTTTTTCAAACATTGTACCTATTTAGATATTCTAAATGAAAAATTGATAATTTGAAGAAAGTAAAAACTCACAAAATACAAGTTATTTCCACTCTCTACTCCTATTTTTTCGCATCTATATCAAAAAGATGAAAATTTTCTCCAATATTTACCACACAATTTTACTAATACTTTAGTTTAGAAGTCGTTTTTTTAAAATCATTTTTAATTCATTATACTCATCAGGTACCAATAAATTCATTGGAGTATTTTATGAGACAAATTAATTTGTCTTTCTTTTTAGATATTCAAATTGCGCTAAATTTTGTCTTAGTCATTGGTATTATCAGTGGCACTTTATTTAGCAGTGATGTTTCTTTCTTTTTTTTTTTTTTTTTTTTCTTATATAGTTTTTGAGAATTCTACTGCGTTTATTCTCAAAAATTTTAATATCATGCTTATAAAATATATAAAATTTAAAATATCAATCGATATTGATTTGTAAATTGATTTAAAATTGGAGATTTTAAGACACCTAGAAATTTTAAAGTTCTAAATGAGATTCTATAAAATTGGTTAAAATAGGATTTGTCAGAGTTTTGGAGCCTTTATCATCGTCAGCCATTGGATAAAGATTATTTAAAATTGCAAAATAATGAAAAGCAGCTCCTGAGGCAACAAACATATGCCAAATAGCATGGGCACAAGGAATTCGTCCATCAGATTTAAAAAATATTATTCCTATTATATACATTAATCCTCCCATTTTGAGCTCTATTATATCGTTATATTCATTCTGAAAATATAAATTCAAATATAAATAATTTAATTATTATTTTTTAAATATTTTTTCAAAAAAATAGTTATTGTACTTACAATATCGACAATTGCTATACTGGGTCCTACACCCATAACTAAGTAAAAAACAGTTTCAAGCTTTTTATATCGCTCGTGGAATATTTGTTGATAGAGAATACCGAGACTTGCCATGATCCATATTAAAATTCTCATTGTAGACAAAGTTACATGCGTTTGGAAGCGCTCATTGTTTAACCAGGGAAAATATGTGGCAGCTATAAAAATGTAGATCATCGCACGATCAAATCGATGAAGCGCGTCTTTTAATTGTCTGAAAATGCGTGTAAAAATTTATTTCTATTTTTTCGACAGTTTATGAAATTAAATATATTATTAATTCTGTTAATCTGCTTTCAGAAAATGGACTGAAATTATATCGAAACTTACCCATTTTGCTTATGATAATGGACACAATGGAAAAAGGTTGACACAGTGAAGACAAGAAGCAAAGATGTTCCATAAATAGTAGCAGACAAAAATTGTGTCCATGTCATGGAACGTTGTAACAATTCTATTGCTGCAATCAATGAAGGTATGATCCAAATTCCATGGGTGATTACATTTGCCACATGCTCCACAAATGTGGGAGTGTAAGCCTCGTTCGTACAAGATCTTGGGTTCTTCCATTGTACACTAAAAACAATTTATTTCTATAATTTTCGTCTAAATTAGTAGTTTATTAATATTAAATATTAATACATTAATTTAATTTTTATATCTTAAAGTAGCAGAGTTGCCACAAGTCAGGGAAATCTGAGAGTTCAGGGAAAAGTCAGGTATTTTTATTAAAAGTACTGGAAATAATTTCATAGATAGCGAAATTCTTCTCAAGAATTAAATTACATTGTCAAAAACTTTAATAAAATTCTTCTCATGAATTCAATTGTTTTCAAAAATTATTATTTAAATTCTTCTCAGAAATTCAATTATTTAAAAAAAAATTGTAATAAAATTCTTCAAAAAGTTTTCAATTATTTTCAAAAATTGTCATAAAATTCTTTAATGTAATAAATTTTATTAAAATTTTAATTAAAAAATTTTAAATTCCTTAATAGAAATTACATATTTTCAAAAGTTGTTAAGTAAAAATTAAATTTTAAGAAACATTCAATTATTGAATAAATTATTTACTTTTGTATTTAAATAATTGAATTCTCCTGGATTTAAAGAAATAAGAATTTTATTTGAAAATTGTAGAAAATAATAATTGAATTGAAATGATGAAAATAATTTTGAAAAAATTTAGTAACAAGATTCTTATAATAATAAAATAATGATTTTATCACTCGATCATCTTTAATTATATTATAAAACATAAAGAAATCGATCACTGCGAGTCGAAGATTCTTATGAAGTTGTTAAATTGCAAAAAGGTTTGAATTTGAATTTTTTTGTAATTATCTTAATTTCTATGGAATAATAATAATGATTAAATATTTATTTAAAATAAAACTATTGATGTTTTCGAATAATTTTACTTTTGAAGAAATTTGTAAATAAATTGAATAGAACCTTTTTTTTTTGAGTGTCTAATAATTTTTAGAGTGCATCAGAATATTCTTTAGGGACAGGGAAAAAGACAAAATTCTGTCTGGAAATTAGGGAAAAGTCATTAAGTCAGGGAAAAATAAAGTTAAATTTTTGTGGCAACCCTGACTAGTTAAAATGTAATTTTTTGTAACATTCAACAATGGTGGTTGGAATTTTAAAAACTAAAAGTATTGGTATAAATTTGTTCATCTTAAACTCACAATTACATATTCTACTTATCCAGTTGCATTCAAATCATTTTGTGCGTGTTGTTACGATGAATACATACATACATATAAAAAGGAAATGAAAATTATGCGATAAAGCGTTAGGGAAACATTCTATAATGCTTCAAGAACATTAAATGCTTAAATTTTTTTAAATGTCAGTCAGCAATATTTTTTTCTGAAAATTGTATTAATATTCATCTTTCATGATTTATTAAAACTGAGACTGTAAATTTATATTTTCAATTGGAACTACTAGACGTATGCAAATTTTTTTAATTCTATATATATATAAGGATCTGGATTATGTTATATAAAGAATTGCACGGCTTTTCTTATATAAGATAAGAAGCTTCAAAACTCGTATGACTAGAAATCAGTCTATAGATAAGAAATCTCAATTTCAGCAACAAAATTCAAATCTAATTTTTTTTATTGTGGTATTGTGGTATTATATTTAAACCGATCCAAGGAGCAAAGTTTAACAAACTTGATACAACCTTCTGCTTCTATCTAGTTTTATTTATTTCATACGAATTCTTTACTTTTTTTGTTTCCATTCAAAAAATATAATATTTTTACTTAAACAAAGCTTTTGAAATTATTAATTATTAATTATTGAATTATAAAGTTTCGAGAATAAAATATTTCCAAATGCAATTTAAGATGGAATTTGCATTCTATTAATTTCTGAGTCCAATAGGCAGTGGTCAAGTGGTCAATCAATACAGTATATACTTATATGTATAGATATATGCATATGAATACTTGCAGATTTTGCTTATATATCATTCGCAGACGAAAAATATTCCATTTCTCAAATCATTGCAGATAAATACATCCGTGACTCTGAGCAAAATTATTAATGTCAGTCGTGTACTTAGCCATTCAGTGAATCCTGTCCACATCAATAAAAATTCCCCTGAAGCATGCACCTCACGCATCTTTTGAAATCATTCAATGATGATGAAACTTGAAAATTAAGTATTTTCTTGTTTCAGAAAAAAAATTCATCTTGAATCAAGATACAATGATAACAATAGTTTATCTGTTTTTAAATTTTGTACAAAGTATCAAAGGTTAAAAAAGTTACTATAATATTATTATTGAAAATATTAGCAAATGTTAATGTCATTTTAGCAAAGGCTAAAATGTTAAAACTGTGATTGAATTTAAATGATTTCTAAATTAGAGAGAAACAATTAGGGCATGCACTAACTATTGTAATGTTTATTATGGAAAAAAAAGATTACACACGAAAAAACAAATGCTGAATTAAAATGTTAATTTTCTGAGTAAAAATTAACATGCTTAACTTTGAAATATTAATATTTCATAAATTTAATTTAGACTCACTTCTTGATTCGCTGTAATTTGAGAACATTTTTTACAGGTGCTGTAATCAATTGATGTAAAAACGGTCCATCCATTGTTATGTTAATTTGCTCGGAATTAACGAAAGGCTACCTTTCAGCTGACGAACGGATTATTTATCCTCGCTAAATGGATACACCTTACACACCTCCAGAACTGCATCCTGATGGACATCGACATTCTTCATTCTCGTTTAGTGAGTATATTCAAATATCTAATTTATTGCATTTATTTTAATGTTTTTTTTTTTGAAACTCTTTGATTTTTGAATTTTTGAATTTGAAAGAAAAGTCATTTTTGGTCGAATAACAAATAAAAGTTCTTTTTAACGAAATTAAAAGTATCAATAAAATCATTTAGATTGTTTTAAAAGATATCTTTTCTTCTTCGATAAATATTTAATACTTTTGGAAATTTCAGCTACAACTTGTTTTATTTTGAAGTAATTTTACTCGTAATTTTATTAAATTAGAAACTTAGAACATTGATTAGAAAAATAATTTTGAGTTGAACAGGTTCAGTGTGCTATATATAAGAAAGTCTAATAAAAGACTGAAAAGAATAATAAATGATGCGAACAATATTATTGTTTTGCGACAATCTTGCAACAAATCATGATTCATATAATAAGTCAATTTTAAAAAGTCTGTATCAACTAACCATAATTTTCTTCTTCAAGTTGCTTGTAATCACTGATTATAATTGACAAAACCCCTTTACGAGTTACTGCAACGAGTTGCCTGTCAAAGTACAACTAATGTAGAGAATTGTTTGACGTAAAGCAAAGCAGACGAAAAGCCCAGCTGGTCTCTATATCTTCTTCAAGTCTTTTTTCTCTCCTCCTCTCGCTCCCTTGCTCTCTCGACGTCCGACGACCATTCTGAACAGGCTGGCAAGCTCTCAATTCCCCTAGAATATGAAACCCAATAAATCGATTCTTCCTGCTTTTAATAAAAGCAAGATATATCGGAATGGTGATTTAAATAGCTAAGATATTATTACATTCATTGATATTTAACAAATACGCTCGAAACCTTGAAACCCTTGGAAAGGAAAATTTTAATTTGTATCCATTTTTTAAAATGACTATCAGGAATACCAAATTTCAAATGCTCAAATAACTCGAGTTTAGGGGTTAAAATATTATTTTGAGTTTTTTTCGTTTTTTTCGACTTTTTTTTGTAAAATAATTATAAAAAGATTCAGAAAGTGACAATTTTAAAAAAACTTTGTAGTTTTATTTACAATTCATTTCGAAAAAAAATTAAGAAAATCGATGGCTCTATTATATTAGGTAAATATTATTTGTTGTTAATTATTAGAATTATATTTTATGACTATTAATATAATTATTAAATCACTGTAAACAAAGAAGTGGTTTGTTTAGAGTAATTTTTAGTCTCAAATGAACAATTCGAAAAAATGCTTTTAAATAAAATATTTATTTTTGACAGTATTGTTAATTATTATTACTACTTTTGACAGATAATAAATAAATTAACAAAAACTGTGATGCAATAAATGTAAGAGGTATTAATTTTATGTATAGAATTTAATGAATCAATAAATTGATATTAAATTTTGCATGAATTGAGTGAACGTTCAGTTCAGGTATCAACCTTGTACTTCTTTAAATCGTGAAAGTACAACCTTGATTCTTTAGAAATGTTTTCAAAAGCCAAATATATGTTCAAAATATTTTTTTCTATTCTTCTTTACATCTACCTATACTTTTTATTTTCTAATCTGTTGTAGACGATACAAAAAAATGTAAATTAAGAAATTTTTCACTATATCATTCAACAATTTGTTTTTAGGAAAACACAAAATAAAAATGTCAAGTTAAATATGTAAATAAAGTAAATTATTATTAAAAAATAGGTATTATAAAGTATTAGGATATAAATTTTAAGCAGAAAGATTTGATAAAATTACTCCATTATTTGGAAACAAAGAAACAAGTGTAATTGTTTAGAATAAGTACAAATTTTCCGAAAGCTAACGTAATATTACTCCGATTTGTTTATTGAAATATTTTTTTTGTCATCTTTTTTTGTAATTTGTCCATTGCGTTAATAAATGTTTATCGCAAATAATTATGATAATAATTAAAGGCTGTGGTCGAGTATCGCGTGATGTATTTAAACTCCGTTTCCATGGAAACAGAATAAAGGAATGGATGGATGGTAGTGTTTCACAGTGTTTCAGTATTTCCCGTTCCTTAGTTTAGATTGCGTTTGTCAGCTGTTCAGTTCAGTTCAATATGGAAGTGTTGGTAGTTGCAATTGCTTTGTTATAAAGACTTTGGAACGAGATAAACACAAGCAGATCGTTGAGTGCAATCCGTCTCGTGCAATTTATGCAAAATTTCGCTCGTAACGTGGATGTGTTGACACAAGGTCTCAAGTACGGTATATCCGGCCTCATGAACCTCGCAAATCAGACTTCTGATTCTCAGAATGGTGTTTTTTTTGTCAATTTCAACCAAGATTGCACGTAAGTGAACATAAGTAAACATGCATCGTATTACAAGGACAGTAATTAGTTTTTAATTACTCGGCAATTCGTTATGATTTGACATTTTTTTTCTATCGAGTTGTTTAACCCCTTTTGTCACCCGCGTAAACGAGGATAAAAGTTTTTTATTCACGCATGGCGTCACCCCGTGCTTGCGCGTTTCTTCTCGCGCAACTGGTCACTTATGTTTTAATTTTTTTGCGTCATCTTCTTGGTTTCCCCCTTTCACTAATTAATTGCGTATCAAGAACAAACATTAGGCTATAATCGTAAATACTGTAGTGTTTACGTCGATCAGCTGTATCGCAATAATTGTCCTTGTCATTCTTCTTTAATATCCTTTTTTATTTCTCGTATGCACAATTCCTTTATTGCCTCTCTCGCGACGATCTTCTTTTTCATTCTTGTAAACATTTCATGCATTTCATGATTGTATGAAAAATTAACGTGTGTCAGTTTGATTCTTTTGTCACCTTGACGTTGCTGCCTAATAACCAATGAAAATCTGACTATTCTGACTAAGCTTACTTATATCGGTTTGATTGGTCTTTTACAGAATTTCATTAACAATGCAATTTCCACTTGCACATTTTTATTATTTATCTTTCAAAAATTTATTTAATAATTAAATACCTAAATAAAGGATGAGAATTGACAAATATTTGATTTATTCTGGAATGAGTAGTGAATTCTCAAATTCATGCAGAGTTGTTTTGAGTACATATTTTGTTTACGTGAAAATTTCTGATTAAAACAACTTTTGTTTTTAGCAGGAAAGATATAATTAAGTCAATGTTTTTTAATTTTTTTTTTTACAATAAGAATTGTTTTCTTTTAAAGGACTGACATTCGTTTTTTAACATTCATACATGTTCTCTTATTCTTCAAGATTAGATAACATTTTATCTAATCTCGAAGAATAAGAGAACATGTATAAATGTTATTTAAAACGTTTAGTCATTAGAAATTAAACACAATAACGTCGCAAAGAAATTGATAATGATTTTCCTTTTATTCATGATTGCAGATCATTAGCAGTTGGATCCAAGTCTGGATATAAAATATTTTCTCTTAGTTCTGTGGACCATCTAGGAAAAATATTCGAAAATGGTAATTTAATAAAAAGCATTTATTACTACAATAGTTTCTAAACATCTGTTTTTCTAAATTCTGTTTTTGTTTTTTACAGACACAGAAGATGTATTTATTGTCGAAAGGTTGTTCAACAGCAGTCTTTTGGCAATGGTTAGCCTATCTTCCCCCCGCAAACTCAAAGTTTGCCATTTTAAAAAAGGAACTGAAATATGTAACTACAGTTACTCAAACACAATTTTGGCTGTGAAACTCAATAGAGCGGTAATAATTACAAGCCTTTGATTATTTACAAACAATTTGCATTGGACTGAAAAGTCTATGATTAATATTGCTTTTTAGAGATTGGTAGTATGTCTGGAAGAATCTTTATACATTCACAATATTCGAGATATGAAGGTGCTGCACACAATTCGAGAAACACCACCAAACCTAGCTGGACTTTGTACACTTTCTATAAACAGCGACAACTGTTATTTGGCCTACCCTGGTTCGAATACCATTGGAGAAGTTCAAATTTTTGATGCGACTAACCTGGTAAATTTAAATGTTCTTTTTTTTAATTTCTTGCAATTATAAATAAGAGTTCTAACAGTTTCTTTCCTCTTTCGTTTTTCCAGCAAGCCAAAACAATGATTCCAGCTCACGATAGTCCTTTGGCAGCTCTTGCTTTCAGTCCTAATGGAACAAAAGTTGCAACTGCATCCGAGAAGGGCACTGTCATCAGGGTCTTTAACGTAAGTTCTCAAATCTATTTTCATCAATAAAATAAAACTGACAAATTTCACAAAGTTATGATTTTCAGGTTAATGATGGCACTAAACTGTTTGAGTTTCGGCGAGGGGTGAAAAGATGCGTCTCGATAAGTAGTCTTGCTTTTAGTATGGATTCAATGTTCCTTTGTTGTTCCAGCAACACGGAGACTGTGCATATTTTTAAGCTGGAGGAACCCAAGGAAGCGTGAGTCCATGATTTAGAAATTATAATATAACAAGTGTGTAAGAAATAGAAATATTTTGTTTAATTAGCTTGAAGAAATTTTAATAATACTTGCAACACTTTATTAATTGAGACGAATAAAATGTTTCCAAAGGCCTCAGCAACAGCCAGAAGAGGCCCAGAGTTGGATGGGCTACTTAACGAAGGCAGTTTCCGCGTCGGCGAATTACTTACCTTCTCAAGTCACCGATGTGTTTAATCAAGGTCGTGCCTTTGCAAGTGTTCATTTACCTTTTCAAGGGTTAAAAAATGTTTGTGCCATCACTACGTAAGTAACTAAATTGCGTTGTTTAGAGAAATTCATTAATCAATTTATAGAAATGAATATAAAATACTTACAAAACAATTTTCTGCAGCATACAAAAAGTGTTGAGGCTTCTCGTCGCCAGTGCTGACGGTTACCTTTACGTATACAATTTGGACACGAATGAAGGGGGTGACTGTACTCTTTTAAAACAACACAGGTTATTTTTAATCTTAAATTTCAATTGTTCAGGGTATAATTTACAATCACTACATTATCAAACTGTTTATATAGATTGGATGGTAAACAAGACGAAGTAGACTGTGCTACTGTTTCGACAACTGGATCGGGAGAGAGTTCCGTAACGGCCAATCAGGCTGTTCCAAATTCAGGTATTTGAACTTTGTTTATTGAAATGAATTTTGTTTTCAATTTAAACAAATCTTAGGTTTTTCAATTATTGATTTAAGAAAAGAATACTGTCATTTGTGACAAAAATATTTCTATGATCTGAATAATTCAGCTTAAAAATAGTTTTATATCTGTTAGACGTTAAGTAATTTTATTCTGCATGACAGAGTGCGTTTGAAGATTAAAAATAATTAATTAAAATGAATGAAATTGTAAGCAAATATTACAATTTTAATATTTATTCTATATAAAGACTTGAGCGTTCGTGGTTGGAAATATTAATTATCATTGTTCGTTTCTGAATAACAAAAATATTTCTGTTTCTTTAAATTTGTGCATGGCTACTTGAAATCATCAGGATTGCGTGTCAAGTTAACACTTGTATTATGATTTCAAAAATTTGTCGGAAATCGAAACTTTATTTGCAAAATGTTGTTTCAACTAGTTTTGTTTTGTAATAATATTTTTTTGTGTAAAAATGTTTTGAAATTATTACTAATGTAATATTCAAGTATTATGTCATTACATATTTTCAACTTAATGTACATACATTTACTATACAGTAGGCTAATTACACGATTAACAGTTTTGAATGAAAAAACACAAGAACAGGTTAGAGGAATATTGTTTGTATTCATTTTTAATTCTTTTCAGGAGAAGCTTTTAGTTTTGTATTTGAATTTTGAAATTAAAGTAAACTTAAATATTCAAAATTAACTAGTGATTATTTTTTCTATTTTCAATTCGTTGTATGACTTTTCACAATATATTTTCTCTTAATTTATTAAGATTTTAGTAGATTTGATGAATTTAGTTATTGTATTAGAAATATAAAGAGATATACCATGCACAAGAATTTAAAAAACGAGTGAATGGTGCGGAATAAAGTTAGAGATTTTATTAGAGGCCTTTTTGATTGCTTGTTCTTTTTTTTCGCTTCTTGTGATCCCCCCAATGTAAAATTGCTAGATGAATTTTCTTGGGGAATTGGGGGCCCCAATAGTTGACCTCACTTGATGTATTTTTTTCTTTTTATTCGCTGAAGCCTGCATAAATAGCTACGCGGGTGCGTTGCGTGGCCGCTCGCCAGACTCCATGTCAGGTACTGGTATGTCCTCTATTCTCCCCCTTTTCTTGCTCTCATTTTCAAACACATTGGGCCCTTGGATCGCCTTTCTCTTCGCTTCATCAAATAAAAGCATTCAATCACTTAATGAGAGACACTGTACAATCATATTCACACTCATTTACTCTATTCTTTAACCGATCACTTTATTAACAATTAATACGTAAATATTGTTAACTAATTTCGCTTCTCTAGACGCATAGAAACAAATCGTTCTTTTTTAAATAATCAAAATATTTACAGTACATGAATATTGTTTTTATGCGTACATTGTTTTATTAACTCACGATTAATATACGCTTCTAATTATTTAATCTCTACTAAAATTAACTATTAAAATGAAATCTGCTTTTCTAGCACAGGATAATATAACAAAGAACTCTTTATCTGCTATAATTTATTGAAATAGAGTCACAACGTGTAATTAGCCTGGAAATTGAATAAAAAAGATTTTTCTCTTCTCTTACATTTTCTATATAAAAGCATGTCGAGAGGATTCTATCAATTTTATTAATTCCATTATTTTCACGAGAAAAACTTTTTTTATTTTCTTCCAAAATTTCCAATTTCAGTGATTTCCCACGAATTTCGAAATTATTTATTTCATCTCATTGCATGCTAATTCAGTTTTCTAAAAGCAAATGTTTTCTTTGTTTTGTAAAAAGCATGAAATTTTAATTAATTTTTCTTTTGTATAATTTACGAATTATAAAAACTAAGTGTTCGCATGTTTGTATAAAACTGGAACAAAAGGTTTCTTTTTTCTTTTCTTTTCTTTTCTTTTCAACCACATTATTATTGTACCTAGTTATCTTCTAAAGTAAGTCGTACAATATTATTAACATTGCTGAAAATGAATCGAAATTCATTTAACTTATTGTCGAATGAAAGAGAATTTAAGTTTAAAAACTTATTTTCCTTTATATTGCACATTTAGTTTTTTCGGAATAAAAAATTTACAGATAAATTAGTTCTTAATATGAATATTAATATTTTCAAGTTAGACTATCGTAAATTCGCTTATAAGCATTGCTTCAAAGGCACTCATTAAACCCACGTCATTATTTTCACAGCAACCATTGATTCACTGTATTTTAAAAACCTTGATTTGCAAATAAATTGATGCAAAGTTCACATTAATGTAGAATTTTAAATTTACATTAAGTGTGAAATGCATAACTTGTTTGCGACGCATCATTATCAGCTTATGTCAAGTCGATCGAATTCAAAATTATTTAAATAAAACGGTTAACACTTTCATATTATAAATTTTAAAATTTGGTAAATCTAATGCTTTTCAATTTTCACATTATATAATTTTATAAAAAGGTAGGTACAAATATTGATTAAAAAATTTTGTTTTTGGAAAAAATTAAAAGTAAAATAGGGGTAATTTTTTTTTCGTAAAACTAATTGTAAATTATAAATATTTAATTAACTGATAAACCATCTTAGAGCAAAACTTAACAATATTTTATAGTAAAAAGTTGCATCTTTCTTATAAACCTAGATTGCACGAAAATGATTTTCAACAGGGAATAAAATATTGATTTTTTTAAGTAAAAATTTTTTTATTCAAAGATGGTGAATGTGGGTTTTGAATTAGTCAATTGGTAAATGGTATTTAGAAATTAACCTTTACATAGATAAATTACATTGTAATGGATATAATTTTTTTTATTATTACTTTTCCGATCAATAAAAAACAGTTATATTTGGAACTTCATTACTAAAAAAATACATAAATTTTTCACTTTGAATATTATTTATTAAAAACTAATCAATATTTTTTTTTTTGCTTAAACCTTGAGTGGGATCGGAACTTTACTGGGTAAATGTTCTAATTTACATAATTTTTATTAATTGTTTTTGTAACAATAAAACTTTGTTATCTCATAAAAACAAAAACGAAGAGAAATTATTCGCAAAAACATTTACAATAAAAATATTTTTAAAATGGTTTAATTTAATGATACCTAGATTTCATTTTTTAAACGTTTTTCTAAACGCTTTTATCGAAATAATTGGATGATTTTTTTAAAGTGTTAAAATAATTTGATAATTAGAACAAGTAGCTTTGGAAGAATTTTGAAAATACATAAATGCTGATCGGCTTGACATTTTAAATTGTCAAATATTTGTGGAATCTTTGATATATGTATTTATTTTTCTAGAATCGGAAAAGTATCACGAATGGATAGCAGCAACGGAGAGTCCACCGAAAGGAGGTGGACCTTTTCGTTTAGACGACGACACAGAATTTCCACCAGTTACACAAAGAACGGAATGAAGGGAACATATTCCGCATATCAAAAGACGAAAAAAAATTTTCCAGAGGATAGAAAGTGCTTTGTGATCATAAAAAATTTCCTCTGTGATTTCTCAACACCAAGATAGTACGAAAATTTGCAGTTTACATATTAAAAAAATGGGAAATTCATTTGCGACAATATTTCTTTTCAAATTTAGTTGTTAAATGCAATTACTTTTGAAGCTGAGATGGAGTACACAAAACAAAAGGACAGGAAATGAATATTTCCAGTGTTCATAGATTATGGCGTTAGATTATTTGTATCTAATTTATTAATTTAAAATCATCGGTGCCAATTCGTAGACCGGTTGGGACTTGACCGACATTAATTATACGCTTCCGAGCGAATTGTTTGTACATTATTATTATTATTATTATTTGATTAATACCATTATCCTAAGTATGGTAGAACACACTGTATTTGTCGTAACTCTTGTCTGTGTAATAATATGTAACCAAATGAGCATGTATTCGAGTTACCGTAGAAATTACTGAATGGAGTGTACGACTCGCATATGCTAGGCCAGTGTCACACATATATCCATAATATGTTCTTCGGTTTTATACTAACGAACCTTGTTTAGTATATATATAAATAATAAAACTCTGATGACAAATGTACATACATAAAATTGTTAACACATTGATGTCAGTACTCGTAAGATTATTATTTTTATTATCATATTATCATTAATACATACATCAATTGTATGATTTAGGCTCTCATACATTAAGATAATGCTTTCCTAAAAACTTCCACTCTTAGATTCTCAATATGACTACCCATAAGTGGAAAAATGTGATGATAGAATGTACAGATATTATCAAACGATTACTTGTTTATCAACATCTCAAAGTAGGAAGTCAACTTTTTGTCTAATAAAAATTCACTTTTCTCTAATTACTTGCTTCAAATTTTTATAATTTACCAAACTACTTCAAAATTTCATAATGTTATCAATTTTAAATCTTGAATAAAGAAAAATTTTATATAGATACAATATAAGCAATTTTTCATTTCGTCAATTTTAAATATCTTATATGAAATTAAATTTTCAATTTAATATAGATTTTGAATTTTATTTAAAAGTAGGCATACTCAGATTAAATTTTGTAACTCCTTTTATTCAGTTTACAGTATTTTTTTACCCACAAGATCTTTACATCGACGTGGTCCAATTTGAAAAAGAATCGTGCACCAAAAGAAAATCGATGAACGTTATGACATTTATTACAGATAAAATTAATGCTGCACATGTTTTTTTTTATGTAATTTGTTTAAATAGCAATTTCTAATCTGTAAAATTCTTAATATTATATAAATAATTTCAATAAAAATTTCCATTCTAATTTAATGTAGATAAAAAAAACTGTAGATGACTTAAAATTTTTAGTTTCATTTAATTATGCTTCTTAGATAGATTAGATGAAGAATTCAATTTAAGGAAAATGTATTTGACATTTCAAACCGTTTAACGGCATGAGTGCCCCGAAAGGTAAAAAAACGTAATCACACAACGTTCACATGAACGGGAAATCTTTACAAAAACGAATTTTACAGGATGGAAACCAAAGTAATTTCTATTATCTTATTTCCTATGTTTGTCTGGCGCAGCTATACTTGTTTTTACGCGTACATATTTCAAGTTTTTCTACAAGTAATGCATGCGTTTTTAGCACTTTTTAGTTTTAGAGCGCCAACAATAAAAATAATAATAATGATGATGCTAGTGCCGCCGGAGCAAAAGGGTCTATCTTTAAATGTATGGCGCATAAAAAAAATTAACTCGACGCTATTTAATAATCCTTGTATACAAACAATTTGATATTGAAATAGAAAAAGTTGAAAAATTACTACTTGTATCACAAACAGTTTATGCACTTGATATCAGTCGAATTAGTTGTTCACAAAATATGTACGATCGTAAGGCTAAAAAAAAGTACTCAAACTTCAGACATACATCATACGCCCTTTTATATAAAAAGTTTGTTACGCAATTTATTTATTTCCAATTTTTTCATGAACCATTAAAAATCGTGACCGTGCAATATTCACACGTTAATAGACAGGCCCTTTTGTCGAATGCTTCACTGCAATCAAGTACAGAAAACTGAAAACTTAACTATAGAGATCATCATCGCCATCATCTTGGAACGGTTGATCTCCTTGTGTAAGGTCTCCTTGAGTACCTGGTGCTCCTCCACTTTGTGGAAATCTGTCGGGAAAATTTTCACATTACTCCCATTCTTTGATAAGTCAAATCTTTGATAAGTTTTCAAATAAAATTTTATTACATACCTGAAATTTGTTCCAAAACCTCGAGACTGTTGAAGAGTTTGTGCAAACATTTCATATTTGCGAATATCGTTGTCGGAAACTGAACGACGGGCAAACCTCATTGCTTCTTCAAAGTGGGCTCTTGTAATTTCTGGCACAGGATCCTCCTCATCCATCTAGGTTAATAATAATTAATAATAGTTTTCTTCAAATATTCGAGTTTTTTTTATTTTAAATTCTAACGTTTCGCTACTTACATCCATACAAACTGAAGGATTAGCAGCCCGATCTTTTTCCCTTCGAATTTCCGTTTCAATGCATTGTCTAATTGCCAGTTTACAAGCACGTTGACAAATTTCTGTTAAATCGGCACCGGAGAATCCGTGTGTTACTTTGGCTATGTAGCACAAATCAACATCCTAAAAAAGTTTCAAATTCAAAGTAAGAAAGGAAATAAAGGAGTCACGTAAAAAATATATAAATAAACAAAATCTTACTTGTGCTACAGGAGATTTGCGTAGATTTGCTTTGAAAATAGCTTCGCGAGATTTTTCATCAGGAAGAGGAATATAAATCAGTTGATCCAATCTTCCTGGACGAAGAATAGCAGGGTCGATGATGTCGGGACGATTAGTTGCTCCAATGATGAAGACATTCTTCTTTGCGCCCATTCCGTCCATTTCGGTTAAAATCTGATTGATGACTCGGTCTGCAGCACCGCCAGCATCGCCGACAGTTCCACCTCGTGATTTTGCAATGGAATCCAACTCGTCGAAAAAGAGTACACATGGTGCTGCAGATCTGGCTTTATCAAAAACGTCCCTAACGTTGGCTTCTGACTCACCAAACCACATTGTCAATAGTTCAGGACCCTTCACCGATATGAAATTTGCCTGACATTCATTTGCAATCGCCTTGGCCAAGAGTGTTTTACCACAACCCGGAGGTCCATAGAACAGAACACCTCGGGATGGTTGCATGCCGAATTTCAAGAACTTGTCTGGATGTTCCACTGGATATTGCACCAATTCCTGAAGTTCCATTTTAACATTCTGCAAACCACCAATGTCATCCCAGGATACAGTCGGCACTTCGACAATCGTCTCGCGAAGAGCACTAGGACTGCTTTTCGTCATTGCGTACTGGAAAAATAATTTTTATTAAAATTAAACTCAATATTTGTTTATTTTATTTATATCTTGATAATCTCAAAAATAATTAACAAAGTTATTATTTTAGTAGTCTTATTGTCGAGAATAAGAAATTACCTTGAAGTTCTCCATTGTCACTGCGAGAGAATTTAATACTTCAGCGTCTACAACGTCATCTTCCAAATCGATCAAATCCATTTTCTCGCGAATTTGTTGAAGAGCGGCCTCTGAGCAAAGAGAAGCTAAATCTGCACCAACGTGACCGTGAGTTTCAGCGGCAATCTATAAAAAATATTTTGTTTAAAATTTTATTTTCAAGGACAAAAAAAATAGATATTAATTCCAAACCTCTTCCAATTCGACATCATCAGCGAGTTTCATGTTTTTCGTGTGAATCCGCAAAATTTCTAGACGTCCGGTAGCGTCTGGAATACCAATGTCAATTTCCCGGTCGAAACGACCGAAGCGACGTAGGGCTCCATCGATGCTGTTAGGCCTATTTGTGGCAGCCATGACAATGACATGAGCACTTTGTTTCATGCCATCCATCAAAGTAAGAAGTTGGGATACGATACGCCTTTCTACTTCTCCATGAGTTTTTTCTCTTTTTGGTGCAATAGCGTCCAATTCGTCAATGAAAATGATAGCGGGTGAATTTTTCTCAGCTTCCTCGAAAGCTTTTCGTAAATTACTCTCCGATTCGCCAGCCAATTTGCTCATAATTTCAGGTCCGTTGATTAAGAAGAAGAAAGCTCCAGTCTCGTTTGCAACTGCTCTGGCAATGAGAGTTTTTCCTGTTCCCGGCGGTCCATAGAGGAGAATACCACGAGGTGGCTTCACACCAATAGCTTTGAATAAAGAAGGATGACGTAGAGGTAGCTCCACCATTTCCTTAATTTGTGCTAACTGCTTCCGAACACCTCCAATATCGTCATAACCAACAGCGTTCAAGGCTTCCTCCTCCTCCTCGCGCTTTATAGGATCGCCCTCGCAGTGAATTACTGTATCTGGTGCGACAATGCAGTAGGGACCGGGATCAGTCTCCACAACTTTGAATTCTACAGCGCGCATTCCTCCGCGAACAATAAAGTTGTCATCTTTATGAATTGGTCGATAGGCTTCCAAAAAGTATGGCTTTAAGTAAACTTCGAAGAGGTTTCCAGTCAAGCCTTCAACTGTGTCGTCCATGGGTAGAACGTGTATACGTTTACCGTACTTTACATCAGGTACTGCTTGCACGGAGACAACGTCACTTAGTCGAACTCTCAAGTTTGTACGAACAACTCGATTCATTCTGATTTTCTCATCCGGGCATGTATCATCGGAGAGGACAATGCAAACTGTCTCTTTCCTGCGTTTTCCTTTCAGCAAAACAGTGTCTCCTCGAAAGAGTTGCAGTTCGTCCATTTTAGCCTGAGATAATCCCACGACTGAATTGTCATCATTGGTCGCTTCATCGACGATTAATCTGTTTGGCCTGTCCTTTTTGCGCAAAATTGCTGTAGCTAGATCTTCACCACTGAAATAAAATTTCAAATGTAACATTTGACAGAAATTGGACAATGAGAACAAAGAAAAAAATACATTTTTCAATAAAATAAATAAAATATTTTTCATCAATATTCTTTTCTTAAATAGTCCAATTTAGAATTAATTTATTTCTTAGGATATTTTATTTAAAATTAAATATTAGTTCCTAAAAATTATTCAACACAATGGCCAATCAGAAGAGCGCAAGTGTAGTTCTTTCAATCGCACTGAATCATTGTCCAGTGAATACATTTTATATTTCAAAACAAAAAAATTAGTCATCCTATAGAAAATATAATAACTTAATAAAAATTCTTTTCTTTCAAGAAAAAAAACAAATTTTCAATTAATTAAAAAATAATCATTATTTCTAAAACTAAAATCTGGATTTGTTCCAAGTTGTTAGGTTAGGGACAATTATATAAAACAGTATAACATTTAATTAAATTCTTTTTATAATTATTAGACACATTTTCATTTCAAGAAAATGTATTAACATATGACTGACATTTTTGATGATTCGTTTGTTGATTTGACACTGGATAAAGTCTGAAACATAATTAATTCTATGCCACGTCTAATTAAATTGAATTTAGGTCGAACAAAAAGATTTAAATATATGATTTATTAAAGATATTGAATAATAAATGAAATTTTTTTTAAAGATAAAACTTGTAGAGATTTGACGCAAAATTTGTGAAAGAACGCGCGGCGTCGACATGATGACAACGTGAAATTGATAGAGGCGGACCTGGCGTACATTTCAAAGAGGCATTTAAAATGTTTGTTAAATAGCAAAATAAACGGGGAAATTATCAATTCTTATATTTACTAACATATATGTGATTGTGAAATTTCTCTTACCTTTTTGGGTCACTCATGATTCACAAGATATTATTTTCTGAAAAAAGCACAAGAAACGCTGTCCTTTTAGAAATCACACGGGATACTGCAGGACACGAAACTAACACAATGAAGTTTCCTACATATCGGTGTCAACATGAACTAGCCAATCCAGTCATGTTGAATAAAATAATTCTAAACCAATTATTTTCTTTCTTTCAAATCTATTTATTTGGTAAATAATTCTATTGATTAATGACTATTTATTTTATCCCGTAATATTATATTTTCTTACAGAATATAGTAAAACTAGTAATTTTTATAATTTATAGTAGGAGTGAATTGTACTTTAAAAGAAGTTAATTGAAAATTGAAATTCGCGCCACATTCGAGAGAGGCATTAAATGGAGGGAAATTCAAAAGTAATAAAATATTAGTTATATATTGTTAAACAAAGTAACTGTTTTTTAGAAATATTGAAATAATATATTAACTTTTTTTCAAACCGAATTATTTGGTTTTGAATAGTCAAACAATTTATTCAATTACTTATTCAAATATTTGCAAAACATTAATAACTTTTTAGTTTCGAAAACCTATATATATAAATTTAGAAAATTTGTCAATTTTTGTCTGTCATTCGGAAATTTTCAATCATATGTGACGCTCCACGAGAAAAGGGACCTTATGACAAGAGTAAATAAGGTCCCTTTTCTCGTGGAGCGTCACATATATTGATTTTTTTAATATTATTAAAATTTTTCCTTATTTCTAGACGATAAGTAATAAAAATTGAATAAATATTATAAATTATTATATTTATTGTAACAAAAGTTCATTCTAGATAAATATAATATGTAAATAAAAACCGATTATAACCTATAATATTGTATATACACTGGTTTTTATTTACATATTTTTATTACAATCGGACACATTAAATTTAAATATAATATTAAATTATATGTGGATTGTATATATGTTCCACGAATATTTATTTATTATTTACAATATCATTGGTCTTTTTACCTAAAATCTATGTTAATTTATGTAAATAATATTATAATTAAATAATTTCGTTGGTGAGACGCATGTATGTATTAGTTCTAAAATACACCTATACAATTAAAAACTCTCCCTGCCAACAATGTAACGTCACGACACTGATATATAATACAAAAATTGCCTCAGGGTCACAAAGACTTATTGAAGCCGGAGAAGGAAGCACGGTCCATCTCTTTTGTTGTATCTTTGAGCAACATTTATTGCTTTTATAAAAGTTTCATCTGAACATTTAGAACATTTTTTCAACAAAAAAATGAGTGGTGGAAAAATTGGTAAGAAATTAATTTACTTTTTAATTGTTTTTTGAATTAAAATATTATTTTTTTGACGCACGTGGCAATTTGATATTTTTTGCCGAATGTAAGAAAAGTAGTTATTTAAAAAATTAAAAATAAAATATCTCGCATTTTTAGTATTCATGTATAAAAATAGGAATATTTTTAGAAAAATTTTTCAAAAATGTTAATTTTATTGGCTAAATAAATTGATTAAATTCTATTTCAGCTCTCCTGAGTGTTTCGGATAAGACAAATCTATTGCCGTTCAGCAAAAAATTACATGAATTAGGATTGACATTAGTTGCATCAGGTGGAACGGCGAAATCCTTAAGAGATGCTGGTCTTCCTGTTAAAGATGTTTCCGATATTACGGGAGCACCTGAAATGCTTGGTGGGCGTGTGAAAACTCTTCACCCTGCCGTTCATGCTGGTAAGTTATTATTAGAAATTTTCCAAAGCTTCTATTTTATCTAAATGATAATAAAATAAGTAAAAGAAAATACTTCTGATATGCTAACTTTAATTTTAATTTTCAAGGAATATTGTCAAGATTGACAGATTCAGATCAAAAAGACTTGCAAAATCAAAACTATGAATTGATTCGTGTTGTTGTTTGCAACTTGTATCCATTTGTGAAAACAACATCAAAATCTGACGTGACGTTGGAAGATGCAGTCGAAAACATTGATATCGGAGGCGTTACTCTCTTAAGAGCAGCAGCCAAGAATCACTCAAGGGTAACTGTTATCTGTGACCCAAACGATTACGATAAAATTATCAATGAATTACAAAATACCTCTGACAACGATACCAAGCCTGAGACAAGGTATTTTTTTCTTCAAAACTTAATTTATGTGCAAATTTATAAATTCTGTTTACAGTTAGAAAATGAAAAAAATATTATTTTTTAAATTTTATGTATTTTCAGGCAAACCTTAGCACTCAAAGCATTCACTCACACTGCCGAGTACGATAATGCGATTTCTGATTATTTTCGAAAACAATATAGCGCTGGTGTTTCGCAAATGACTCTTAGGTATGGAATGAATCCTCATCAAAAACCTGCTCAAATTTTCACTACTTTGGAAAATTTACCACTAACTGTAGTGAATGGTTCTCCGGGATTCATAAACCTTTGCGACGCATTGAATGGCTATCAACTGGTCAAGGAATTAAAGGCAGCTCTTAATTTACCAGCTGCAACTTCGTTTAAACACGTGAGTCCAGCTGGAGCCGCCGTTGGTGTTCCTTTGGATACCGTTAACGCTAAATTGTGTCAAGTTGACGATATTGTTGATCAATTAACGCCGCTAGCAACGGCTTACGCTCGAGCTAGAGGCGCTGACAGAATGTCCAGTTTCGGTGATTTTGTTGCTTTATCCGATCCTTGTGATACGCCGACAGCAAAGATAATTTCAAGGTATTTGTTTAGAAACTGAAATATTAAATCAAAAATCATATTTTTGTCGAATTTTCTAAAAATAGTTTTCTTTATCCTTTTTAGAGAAGTTTCGGACGGTATTATCGCCCCTGGATATTCTGAAGAGGCTCTTCAAATTCTGAAGAAGAAAAAGAACGGTGGTTATTGTATTTTGCAAATTGATCCAAATTACGAACCGGCACCTATGGAGCGTAAAGTCCTTTATGGATTGACTCTGGAACAATTGCGTAATGACGCTGTAATTGACAAGACTACATTTGCCAATTTGGTCACCAAGACTAAAACTTTATCTGATTCTGCAGTAAGAGATTTAATTGTAGCAACAATTGCGGTCAAGTACACGCAGAGTAATTCCGTTTGTTACGCAAAAGATGGACAAGTTGTTGGAATTGGAGCTGGTCAACAATCTCGAATTCATTGCACAAGACTTGCTGGTGATAAAGCTGATAACTGGTAAAAATAAAATATGTTAAATACATATATGCATGAATATTGTATTGATTAGAGATTTGTAAATAACACAATTTTCAACTTGATAGGTGGCTACGTCAACATCCCAAAGTAACTGGCATGAAATTCAAGAAAGGAGTCAAGAGAGCCGAAATTTCGAATGCCATTGACAATTATGTTAATGGTACCGTGGGAAAGGATATGGACGAAAAACTCTGGGCTTCAATGTATGAAATTGTGCCTGAAAAATTAACCGTTGAAGATAAAACTGAGTGGTTGAAGCAATTGAATAATGTAGCTTTAAGCAGTGACGCATTTTTCCCATTCAGAGACAACGTCGACAGAGCACGATTGGTAAGAAGTTCATTTTATAATAATTATGGATACTTTTATATTACTTATTGAATTTAGAAAATTCTTTAAACCTAAGTTTACACATATAAATTGCATAATTTTTATTTTCAAAGAGCGGAGTTGGATTCATAGCAAGTCCAGCAGGATCAACAAATGATGAGGCAGTGATTGCAGCTTGTAATGAACACAATATCACTTTGGCTCATACCAATTTCCGATTATTCCATCATTAAATTTTATTCCAAAAGCCTTTATAATACAGGCTACTAGTAATTATACAACTGGGTCCAAATATATTTTTCTACCACAATTTTTATGAGATTCTGATCAAAGACTGAAACTATTCATCATGTTATCTGTAGTACAGAACGAGTAAATTTTATAGATTTTATATAACAGTTTTATGTATACAAATGTAAATGTCTCACTTGTTACAATAAACAACATCCAGTTATATTTAAACTTAATTATTTACATTTCATTCAGAAAAGTCTTATTTGTAAATTGCAAAATATTTTTTATTTCAAAAACTAGAGTCCTAAAGGGGAATTCACAATGCAATTTTCTTGATACATACCGCACCCTGTGATACGATTTTCACCAACTGTTTTCTCTATTGTTATGCCTATGGTTCATGACTGATTTGTGTTTTATGTCAAAATTCAGTTTTTAATTATTTATTATTTATATGAGAGATATATAAAAAAACAAAGTAGTAACGAAAACAATTGCAAAAATGAGTAATTCAGGTCTTTCTGATCAATCCCTCATGGATAAATCCATGCGAAGTGTTTTCGGTGAGTATTTAATTGTGTTTTCCCAAAGAGGGAATATTTTACAAACAATTTCAAACAAAACAAGTAAATATTTAATTATTTTTATAGTGGGAAATATACCCTACGAAGCAACAGAAGAAAATTTAAAAGACATTTTTAGTGAAGTCGGACCTGTTCTATCTTTTAAGTGAGTAATATTTGATTTACCTGCGGATAAAGTATTTTCATAATAAACATAACCTTACATTTATTGATTTTATTATATTTTGAATTTTTTTCACTTATTTGTTTAATTTATTTAAACAAATAAGTGAAGCAAATTTAAACAGAAGTTAAAAAAGAAGATTTTAAAGTATTTTGAATAAAGAACAGTTTTTATAAACAGATTAGTCTTTGATCGAGAAACTGGTAAACCGAAAGGCTATGGATTTTGTGAATATAAAGACCAAGAGACTGCACTCAGTGCTATGAGAAATTTAAATGGCTATGAAATTGGTGGCAGAACTCTTCGTGTGGATAATGCTTGCACAGAAAAATCTCGTATGGAAATGCAAAGTCTTTTGCAGGGTCAAAACACTGAAAATCCTTATGGAGAAGCAGTACAATCTGATAAAGCGCCAGAAGCAATAAGTAAAGCAGTCGCTTCGCTTCCTCCAGAGCAAATGTTTGAGTTAATGAAACAAATGAAACTCTGTGTTCAAAATAATCCTGTTGAGGCTCGTCAGATGCTGTTGCTCAATCCTCAACTAGCCTACGCTTTATTGCAAGCTCAAGTTGTCATGAGAATAGTCGATCCTCAAACTGCAGTTGGCATGCTACATAAAGCAAATCCAATTCCTGGATCACTGACACCGACCGACAAACCACCAGTACATCAAGCGCCTCCCAGAATTGAAGAACCCTGGGCTCCACCTAGACCAACACCAGCACCAAATCCACCTGCTTCTATTTTTGCTAGTAAGTTGTTAATTTTCTGCAAATTATATTAAATCAGCAAAACTTATTATTATTATTATTATTATTATTATTGTTTCTCAGGTGGTCAAGACGTGGATTTACGAACTTTAGACAGACAAATCGATCCTCGCATGGCCAGAATGGATCAGGATTTAAGAGGCCCTCCACCTGTTCCGGCTGTAAACCCCACACCTGTTGCACCTCCAACTGACACGAGGGCACCCGCACCGTTTAATATACCAGAAACGTAAGTGTTTTAGTAAATTTATTATTAATTACCGATTTATTACTGATATTCTTATTTCTAATGCAGCGTTCTTCCTATGGAAGGGATCGAAAGGTTAAATAAATTTATTAATTTAATAATTAAAATATTCTCATGTGTTTCTAAAATTTCTAATATTTTATTCTTTTTAGCTTTACAAGAGACCCAAGAGCTGATAGATTTGGACGTGATCCTCGCGATCCACGAGATGCTCGAATGCCAGTTGATCCGAGAATGACAAAACCAGTTCGTAAGTGTTCATGATTTTCTTCCAAAGAATATTTTTCAAAAAATTACAACATAATTTAAATTCATCGAAATGATTTATTCAGCTCCACCAGGACCAGTTGCTCCTCCTCGTTCAGTTGCTCCACCTACAGGACCGGCTCCCGCTAATTCGGTTAATTCTACAGTACCATCCAACAATCTTACCACGTCCACCAGCAGCAATAGCAACAGTACAAATAGAATTATGTCAGGAATGTCGCCGGCAGGAAATATTCCAAGTGGAGCATCCGATCAAGAAAAAGTAAGTTTTTTTTGTAGAAAATATGCTTTTATTTATTCTTAAAAATATAAACAATTTTTGTTATATTACACGCTGTTTCATAAAGCATATAAAACGATATAAAAATATAAAAATTACTTCGTAGTTACTACTATTAGAAAAATATATCTTTTTAATCACATTTTGTAACACGACTCTTGTTTTTTTAGGCTGCGTTAATAATGCAAGTTCTGCAATTATCGGACGAGCAAATCGCAATGCTTCCCCCGGAACAGAGACAAAGTATTTTAGTATTAAAAGAACAAATTGCTAAAAGTACACAACGATGAACAATTCGAAACAAGGATGTGCGAATATTTCACCTTGCGAAAAATAAAAAAAAAATATTGTAATTTAGTTTACAACAAAAACATTCTTTTTTAATTATTCGAATTGAAATAAACATTACTATAAACTAAAAACCTTACTTATTTACTGAACGTTACTTCAAATAAAAAATACTTTTAATTTTTTGATTTCGTAAAATTATATAAGATTTCTAAGTCTTAAACTGTAAAGACTAGCTTTTTAATTTTTTGGTTGAAATAGACCTTGTTCTATGAGAGACGATACTGCTGGTTGGGTACATCCACTATCTAAATACAGATCAACAGTGATCGTACGGCTGTCGAGATTACATTCCTGAAAAATAAAGTCATATTTACAAAAAATGTTAGATTCAACAACAAATCAAAGACTTACCTTAATCTTAGCGAATAGCGTTTTATCTTCATAATAGCGAATTACTATTTTTGAGAATTCAGTTTTTGAAAATCCATATTTTGGAACGATACCGTAGGCTTTACAATTTACTGCCATGCTGGGTACAGAGCGAAATTCTGCATCCATTTCTCTGATTCTAAAAACAATGAGAATAACATTTTTTTAAATTATTTTAAATATTATCATAAAATATATAATTATTTAATACACATACTCAGAAATATCTGCAACTCGATTATTTCCATAGTCTATATATCTCACGGTAATTAGTAATTTTTCGGAATTTCTTTCGTATTTTTTTATTACACCTCTGTACCATTTACCGTCTGTGTATAATGCATAACAGAGCATGTCTGTAATGGGGAAAAATTAATTAATGATTGTCAACAAAGCAAAGGAAAATAATCCTTTGAAAGTGTATATATAAGAAAATAAACTTACTAATCTTTGGATCTTTAATTAATGGTTGTCTTGGAGCTATTATCTGTATATCGCTATCCATTTCACTATATCTCTTGACAACTTTCTTAATACTCTATAAAACAAAAAAATAAATATTATTAACTGGCAGAAGAAACGCGGTATTTCATTTATTTTTATTTTCAAATATTAATTTCAATTTTTAAATAATTTCATATTCAATATTTAAGAGAATTCAATTATTAACTAATTATTTATTGTTTTCAAAAAGTTTAATAAAATTCTTCGCAGGAATTCAATTATTTTCAATAAAATTTCAATTAAATTTCTCAAAAGAATTCAATTATTTTGAAAAATTTTGATTCAATACTTTAAGAGAATTAAAATATTCCCAATACAATTTTAATTAAATTCTTTTAAAACCTTTAATTATTTTCGAAAATTTCCACAGAAACTCAATTACTTTGAAAATTTTTGATACAATTATTTTGAGAATTGAATTGTTTTTAAAATTATTCAAATTACTTACAGGAATTTAATTATTTTAAAGAATATGAATAAAATTCTTTGCAAAAATTTGATTATTTTAAAAAATTTAAATAAAATTCTTTACCTATAAGAACAAAATTTAATTCTTTTTCTAAACAATGGAATTCTTCGCAGAAATTGAATTATGTATTTAAAAAATTATTGTTGAATTCTTTATAGGAATTCACTTATTTTTAATACAAATTTGATACAAATTCTTACCGAGATTTAAATTTTTTTCATAATTTGTGAAACTTTTCGCAGGAATTTAATCATTTTAAAGAACTTTAATAAAATTCTCCACTGAAACTCAATTACTTTGAAAAATTTTGATACAATTATTTTGAGAATTGAATTATTTTCATAATTAATCAAATTCCCCACAGGAATTTGATTGTTGAATTCTTTATAAGAATTCACTTATTATTAATACAAATTTAATAAAATTCTTACCAAGATTTCAATTATTTTCATATTTAATAACATTTCTCGAAAGAATTGAAGCTTATTTTTAAAAAAACTGTTAATTATAACATTCTTCGGAGAAATACAAATATTTTCAAAAATTTTGATAAAACTAAAAGAATTTAAATATTTTTAATATTACATATTTTATTTAAATTTTTCGTAATAATTAACTTATTTTTAAAGATTTTACTTAAATTTTTCACAAGAAATTTAAATATTTTGGAAAATTTGTATAAATTTCTTTATAAGAATTCAATTATTTCAGATTAAAAAAAATAATATAAAATAAATATTCTTAATTGAAAACATTTTAGTTTAATTACTTTTTGATGTTTCTTAATCTTCAGAGCATTAAATTAGAATCTCATTAATTTTAGAATTCAAAACATAAAAAGAAAAATTGTCAACAAAAAAACAGGAAAAGAAAAAAAAAAAAAAAAGATTACCGAAATACAACGATTACTAATGTAGATTAAAGATTAATTAAAGTTAATTATTCATCAAATATGAATACCTAAAACTAAAATGACAAAAAATAATACCTTGTTGCCTCCTGTGACATGGCCTATAAATTCTAATTCTTGTTGCTTTAGGCCTTTTTTGGCAATATTAGACATTTCGATTTCAACCAAATCATCGTTTTTGAATCTGTTTAGAAGATCTGGAATATCAATTCCTTCACAAGGATCTTCTACTGATGAGGAAACAGTGGTGGTTGTAGAAGTGCTGTTAGTGTTGGGCTCTGAAGTATCTAATTTCAATTGCGGTGTGGAAGTAATCATTCTATTTGCGTTTCTCTCCAGATTATTCCATGAAACACTTTCAATACTACTCGCCTTGTCCACTGCTTTACTAATTGGTTCCTCATGTTTCTCTTCCTCAACTTTTGTGGAAGAATTTAACGCTGGAAATTCAGTCTCGTAGTCTACACCCATATTAGGATTAGCTTGACAATCAGAAATGTATTTTTCTATATGTGTATTATTATCTGTGATATCAACTCTTTTCATGGTTGTCTCCTCTATCGAATCATCTGATGATTCTGGATCAGAGTAACATTCTCTAGGATCTAGAATGTTCATAGTCGTTTCTTTCGAAGCATAAGTAACAAAATCGCAATATTTTGGTTGCAGTAAGGTAATTGAGACCTGAAATTAATAAGAGTATAAATGAATTTCAATAAATTGAACTTATACGTACTTTTAATTTACTATGTTGATAATTACATGTAGAATTTGTGAAAAATTGCCTGTTCTTTTTATCACATTCACATCAAATTCTTTGTCAACCAAATGGCAGTGTATCTTATCTAAGTCGGATGTAGACCAAGTTCCATCTAAAGTGTTCTACAAAACAAAAAATTACATTAACATTAGTATTTCATTTATGTTACACTTTTCAATTCAATATTATTTAATAAAAAAAAACCTACTGTACGAAGACCCTGTATGACACATTTTGTACACTGGATCGGAATATTTTGAAGAATAACCCTTTTCTTTATTGTTCCGATTTCACAATCTTCGGTATTGCCATAATCAACGAATTCAACCTAAAATTATGTAATTAAATCAGTAATCATAAAAAACCATATAACATTTATTATTATTCTTCATATGATTACTTTAATAATAATAATAATTCTAATATTTTTAGGTATATTATTAATAAATAAATAAACAAATAAATAAATTATATTAATGTAAATTAGCTGAAGAGAACACTAATGTTAATACCAATATATTATGAAACTGATTTCTTAAGGGCATTTGAACCATTATGACGTCACAATTTTAAAACTCATGCTTTGCACACATTGTGACGTCATAATGGTTCAAATGCCCTTAATTGTTTTACATTTTTTTTTAGTTTTTAAATGACAAAACTTATACTTGTATTCCTGAGTAATAAATAACTTTTTATCTATTTATTTATAAAATTCTGAAGTCAGCCAGTGAATAATAATTTCAGATACAAACTTAAAAAAAATTCAATTATTAACTAATTTACTAATTAATTATTCTAGTTTATTAATTTCGAAAATTTTAATAAAATTCTTCGCAAGAATTCAATTATTTTCATAAATAATAACATTCTTCGTAAGAATTCAATTATTTTTATAAACAGTAAAAATGTTTACAAAAACTCAATTATTTTTAAACAAAATTTTAATGACATTTCACGAACGAAAACAATTATTTTCTAAAATTTTAATAAATCTTTCGAAACAATTCAATTATTTTTTTAAATAGTAAATCTTTACGAAATTCAATTATTTTCAAAAAAAATTTCATGAAAGAATTCAATTTTCAAAAAAATTTTAATAATATTTGAAAATAGTAAAATTTTTTGCAAAAAATCAATTATATTCAAAACAATTTCACGAAAGAATTTAATTTTTATCTTAATTCGTTATAAAAAATTTCAATAGAATTCGATTATCTTGTAAAATTTTAATAAATTCTTTGCAAAAATCTAATTATTTTTAATACAATTTTAATAACATTTCATGAAAGAATTCAATTTTTTAAAAATTTTTTTCAGGCTCTGTGGCAACCATGATTATTATAAATAGTGAAATTCTTTGCGAAAATTCAAATATTTTCTAAACTCTTAATAACATTCAATATCAAATGTTTAATTTCAATTATTAACAAACACGATTATTTTAAAAACTTGAAAGGAATTATTCATAAAATTAAATCATTTTTCAAATTTTTATTTAAAATTATTAAAGAAACTCCATTTAAAAAAATCAAAGAAATTCTTCAAACAAGAATTTAATTAAAATTTTCAAAAATGTCAACAAAACTCCTCTCGAGAATTCAATTATTTTCCTAAATTAATAATAAAATTTTTCGAAGGAATTCTATTATTAAATTTTTTGATAAAATTCTTTGCAAAAATTCGATGATTTTCAATAAATTAATTTTAAAAATGGAAATTTAAAAAGAATAATTATTAAAAAAGTTATGAAACAAAAAAACAAACAACATCTAACTTCAAACTGCGAACAGATTACCGGAATACGATTATTAATATAGATTACCTGAACATTTTCGTGGTCAATAATCCTTTTAATTTGTGCTCTATACCATTTTTTATTATTATGATATTGAGCTATGCATATATCACCGATTTTCCACTTTTGACCGCATGGTTTAATTGCTTTTCTACTGTATTTCTCATCCAAATTAGTTTCAATATATTTTAATACCTCATCTAAGGAAAGAAGTAATATTTAAAATTGATAAGAAATTAAAAATAGTTGATTTTTTTTATTAAAGGAGATTGATTTATGCAATAAAGAAAATAAAAGGAAAAACCTTACTTTGATTTACTGCGTGCAGATAGACAAAGCATTTGTGATCTACATAGGTTGCAGTAGCACGAAATGAATTTGTTTCAATTGGATCAGCTGGAATCCATTTCGAATTCATATGTTGGCTGGCAGATTCACTAAAATTATCAGAATCGGATTGATCATCATTATCGGTGCATTCGGTAGAAGTGTCCGAGTTGACTAAAGTTCCATCTTCACTATTTTTTTTTGACCACATTATTTCACTCAAGTTTAATCCACCGTTGTATTCACCTTTATCCAATTGTTTCTTGACTTCCAGAGCGAGGGCTCTGGTGACATCTCGAGAAAAACTGCACAAAAAGAGAATTTGTTAAAATATTAAAAGTAAATAATAAATAATAATAATTACCCTTTAAGTGGAATTGCAAATCCAGCTTCTGCTAATAGTCGGCTGACAGAACGATATTCAATTTTATCTGAAGCAAATGGTCCATCAAGTATGGACACTTTAACCCAAAGTTCGGCAGGAATTGTTTCGTCCACTGTTTCCGACTGAATAATAATAATTTATGAAAAAGTGCATTCTAAGTCAACTGTTTCGGAAATAATGTTTAAATTACGTAAAATATTTACCACTTTTGTGATGTAGAATTTAAAGTTATCATTTTCGTTGATAATTTCACGTAATTTTTGACACGAAGAAGAAGGCCATGAAGCTGTTCCGCCAGGTGCAATGATATCTGCCAGGTTGATTTTGAATTGATATCGCGGGGTAGACAGGAAGTCTTTATCTAAAGGTTGTACGTCATCCAATGGAAATGTTTCTTCTAAACCTAAATCAATTAGAAGCACGCTGAGTTCTGTTTCAGATAAGACGTTCAATATTTTCCCACGGAAAAATGCTTTATCTATTCTTGAATACACTGCACACATTTGGTCTTTTTGCCACTCAATTTCTGAAATAGCAGCCACGTGTCTATTATAAAATTTTTGCATTTTTATTTGAAGAGCATTGTGTGCTGCTTCTTTCGTTGGATCAGCAACGTAGATGCAGTCGGGTGATTTTGCATTTAACACAACAACTCGCAATCTGTAATCTTCCAATTCATCAACGGCCTTTTTATTTTTTGGTGAGATCGATAATGTAGATCCACCGTGAAAAGAATTTAAAGATTTGAAAATCTTTTTGTTTGTCGGCAAGCACTGTTTGTCTTTTACTGTTTCAGTTGTAATCTCTGAACTAAAATAGTTTATAAATTCATTAATTTACAATGTAGAAAATTTTGTTCGGTAAATTCGATTATGCTTACTTACCTTACTCCTGTGCTGATTGCGTGATTTGATGAGACAAGTAAAGTATTAATGTTCGTCTCATCCGTATACAAACTAACACTGTACGATTTATAAAAGTGATTGCTTCCAATTTCATTGTGAGGAAAAACTTTTAATCTGCCATGCAATAAGGTTTCTTTGAGAAATTCTATTGATGAAGAATCCCACTTTGAGCTACCAACTGGACTCGGGACTACGTCTCTCAAACTGACACGTACAGCCTATAGGAAAGTAATTTTAATTATATCTAATCATTAATATATAATATTGAAAGTAAAAGAAAAATTACTTGAGTTGTAAGAATCATGAATTTTTGTTGCATTTTACGAAGTTTTGAAAAGTTCAATATTTCTTTTTTTCCAATATCGACGAAGAAAACTTCGGCCGTTTGTATGCAGGGGATATCACAGATGACAGCTCTGTACCAGTAGCTATCAATGTTTTGAGCAGCACAAATCATTCCTGTAAATTATAATAATTTACTTATTATAAGATGTACATTCAATATTATATTATGTAAATGTAATATTTACAAATAACTCCTACGAGTACCGTACGTACCTACATCAGGTTCATATATAACCTGGCTTTTAGGTTTTCCTTTTTTATACTCTCTTTTCATTTCATCTTTCAGTCTTTCGAAGCTTTCAGCGTTACCGTTTATCTGCGAATAATATGTGATTAGTTTCAAAAATTGACATTCGAGTATCTTAAAAAGTTAAAAAATAATTCTTACTTTTACGATGTAGATGGAATCAGGTGATTCTACGTGTGAACATCTTACGGACGTGAATTTTGAAATTTTCAAGTCTTGAAGGAAGAACTTTCTTACTGCACTTGGATTTGTTTTCTGTTAGTTAAAAAGAATTATTCCAAACTTGAGAAATTTTTTAATATACCTAATTATTGTTAAATAAATAAAAATTAATCTTATTTTATTTTAAAACAAAATGACAAATTTTCCAAATTATTCACTTCTTTTTCAAGTTATAAAAAGCAACGTACCCTAAGTGTTCTCGAAGATATGAAAGTACCAAATCCCAAAACTAGAAGATTATCTCTTAAAGATATTTGCCTATCAATATTGTTGCTGCATAGATCGACGAAATAGGTATTCTCACTAATGTCGTATATATACATTATCACTGGTTTAATGCTAGAACAAAATAAATAGAGATTGTAAAATATTGTTAAAACTACTTTTTCTTACTCATAAAAAAGTTGATTTTAAATACTTGTTTTTAATCAAGTCCATCATAACTGTCTTGGTTGCCGAAGATTGCCATTTCTCATCTTTCGGCTCAATATCATGCAAAGAGCATTTAATGGCGAAGGCAGGTGGAGTTGAGAAATGCTGAGAAATATATCGTATCTCGTGAATCAAAACAGTACTTGTGTTTCCATAGTCGATAAAAAATATCTCATATGTTTCTTGATCCTGTTGATTCTTTTTTATACTTTGAACTCGACCACGATACCAACGATCCAGGTATTTCACGATGTACAATGAACCTGAATTTAAGTCATTATTAATATAAAATTTAGAATTAAAAAAACACTTTTAAGATAAAAACTTACCTAATAAAATGTCGGTAGGCCATTGATCATTTTTCATAGCAGCGGCAGATAATTTTTCATCCAGAGCCTTTAGTTTGTCATTTAGACACACTTGTCGAACGTAGAAACAAAAAGGATCCGCTATGTGTGTTACATGCACCATTACACGTCCTCCTGCAAAACACATTTGAAAATAAAATATTATTTTAAAAATGAATTACAAAAAATTCTACTAATATGCAACCTTTTACTAGTGTATCGTCCGGATTGTTCATTGTTGAACAAGTCGACATAGCTACCGAAGGCGTCGGTGATGGAGGCCGTGTTTTTACTTCTGTCCATAAACCTTGAAAAATAGAAAAATATAATAAAAACAAAGATTCAACATGAATTTGTATTAAAATACTTATCCGAACATAATTAAATGTAACAATTGTCATTAGAAAAATTTGAATGTGAAAAAGGTTAATATTATCTCATTATTTTCTTTAATTACAAATCATTTTAATAGTTTAATTCAATTTTATTTAATGGTAAAAAATAATTTTAAAAAAAATTTTTCCACTTCTATATTAATTAATGATTTCCAAATGAAGAACTCAGATAATGATAACTCATCATTTAAAATGAAATAAACTTTTATAAATTCAAATTTTGATTAAAACTTTTTCTATATGTCTCTCAAAAATTCAATTGTACTCTAAACCTACTTGGAATGTCTTGTAGATTTATTGGTTCTAAAGTATAATTGGGTGGTAAGTTTTCACTTTTGAGTAATGTGAATGGCACGATGTCTGGAACATGAATCGAGCAGTGATTTTTTAAAACATCTAAAATTGTTTTGTCAGCTTCAAATCTGAAAAACAATAAAACATATTAATTTTAATATTCGTTTCAACAATTAAGAGAATTTACCAAAAAAAATTTTATTTTTGAAATCAGTGTTTCTTTTTTGAATTAAAAATTATTGTAAAATAATTATGAGATAGGAATTTTTTATTATGTAGAAGACAATGTTTTTTATTTCTATGAAAATCTTTAGGACTCAAAGAAAAAAAGCATTAGTTTTTTTAAGAAATAATAATAAAAAAATAAGAAATTTACCGACCGACTTGGCCTAGAAAAAATAAAAGATTTTAGAAGTTTAAAAAATTATGGACAGCAAAAATTAAAAATAAGATGTAAAGTTAAAAAAAAAAAATAAGTGTATAAATTTATTAAAAATTGTAAAATTACCTGACTCTTTGGTCAGTAGTTACAGTCTCCTTATATAAGTGACAAGGCAAATTTGCAATATTGTTCATTTTCTTAATAAGGCTGGACAAGTCAATGTCTGATAGCGAGTTCCTGACCGACGCTGCCATCTGTGAAAAAATAAAACCAATGAAATCATTTGCAATCATAAAAAATAAAATTATTATTTTCAAATTCAACCCACCATTAAGCCGTTTTCTAATAGTTTTTCATAGTCATATAATTGTGTTTTGATGTTTTCCATATGATTTCTTAATGCGGTCCGTTGTGATTTCACTTTTTCGAGCAGCTCTCTTTCAATGAGTTGAAGAACGCCGTGTATTTGAGAAAAATATTGATTCACATTTGCCTCTTCCAATTCACTATTTTGTAGCTGGTCTGGAAAATTGATGTATCTTTGTGTTTTCTGAAACAAAAAAATAGATTTTTTAATACAAATGTATTGAAAGTAAATATACAAAGTAAATTCCAAACTAAATTGCGCTACACATTGCAGTATGTATTAAAATTGATTTTAAAGAAAAGATTTGCATGAATAAAAAAAGTAAAACTAGTTTTTCATAACATTTATTTTCATTATATACAATATGGATTTTTGGTACAAAAGAAAAAAAAGTTGCTATTCATTTTCCTCAAATAAAGTACATAAGATGTACTGATTTCAAGGATCTCATTTGTTAATTTATAGAGTTTGTACTCTCACTCAAAACCTTTTTGAGAAAACGATGTCGACTTTCTTGTGATTAAGTTTTCACGCCTCCAGACATTATTAACCCTGCACTCCAAGAAGAGCACTCTCGGCAAATTGTTTCGACCGTAGCTGATTAGTATTTTAAACTTTTTCAAGACTCTCCTTAAAAATAATGCACCTTTTACCGCAATAATAAAGTCTTAATAAACTACTCGTCTTAACAAGACATATTTGATGAAGCTTATAAACGTTAAGAAAGGATTTTCCTCCCCCCGAAAAAAAAGAAAAACAATGCAAGTATTATATTTTCAAAAAAAATATCAATAATAATTTTTAATTCCAATTTCCTTAATAAATAAAAATAAAAATGAAATTCATAATTATTCGTAAATAATATAGATGAGTAAAATTGAGAAATGTGATAAAGGTATGATATTCTGTACTGAATTCACACGTACTGCACGTTTGCGAATGTGTCCTATGTAATTTCCATTCGACTCTGTTCTTGTCAAGTTAGAAACGAGTAAGAGTCCTTTTGTCTTATGATTAGTTGAAATAGTATCTTCAAGACGTGATAAGAATCGTTCTCTACTGAAAATGACAAAGTTTAAGTTCTGAATGAATTTCAAAGTTAGAAAAATTACAAGAACAGAATAATAAAATTTTCTGCAATGGAAACTTGAATTAAATTAAAAAGCAACTTTACAAAAAATATATACTTGTACATTTATATTACTTTTTAAAAATTTACATAGCTCTTCGAAAATAATTAGAGCAGAATACCAAAGTCTTTTAAAGTAATGGTCTTTGTAACTTTCATAACAAATGTATATTTGTTCTACTTTTTCAATAAGTATGGAACTATTATTAAATATAAGTCTTTCAAAGTACATACAATCGATCAAAAAAAGAAACTTACATTTAAAAAATATATTTACTCTGTATATCAATTTTTTTTCTTGATAACAAATATATAAAATGTAATCAATTGTTTTATTTTCAAGAAATTCATGAATCACTTCCTGATTAAACGTTACGACACATAGCAACAGTAATCAGCAACTTTTATATCAAAACCTATAAAATGTTCCAGCGTTGAAAAGTGACTGCATATAATTTCTCAGGAAGAATTAAGTAAAATCAAAGTAAGTAATTTATTCTGTTTTGTAAAAACTTTACTAATTATTTGAAAGTGGTATATAAAGTTTCTCAGTGTTTGTATGAATTATGACTGTTGAAAAAATATATTTGTAATATGTTGATGAAAGCTTTTATTAAAAATCCTTCCGATGCTAATTTTATTACTATTTTAAGAATTGAAATTTAGATATTTAAATGTTTAATTATTAAAAATAATTTTCAGAATGAAGGAAATGTGGACTTTTTTCATCTTTATGATGGCAGTGTGTCTAGTAACGACAAATCCGTTGCTTCCCTTTCAACCTGCTTTAGACAATCAAAATTTGGAGACTTCGAGAAATATAATAAATCAAGTTTTTATTACTATTAACTTAAATAATACAAACAATACAGTTATTCCTGTGAAACTTGAGGACTTTCAAAAGACTGGATTACAGATTAGTGGTACAAATTGTACAAATTCTACAACAGCAAAACCACCTACGCCAACTTCTCCTCCTTATTCAACAACGAGACGTCCATCTACAACTCATTATCCAATATATACAACAACTCCGTATTCTACACCAACTTATCCTCCTTTCTCAACAACGAGACGTCCATCTACAACTCATTATCCAATATATACAACAACTCCGTATTCTACACCAACTTATCCTCCTTTTTCAACAACGAGACGTCCATCTACAACAGATTATCCAACGTATCCTACATCAACTTATCCTCCTTTCTCAACAACGAGACGTCCATCTACAACTGATTATCCAATTTTTACAACACCTCCGTATTCAACAACGAGAGGTCCAACTACAACAATTTATTCTTCTTCAACAACAGACTATCAACGAAAAAGTAACAATCAGAAGTGACATATTAAAAAATACAAGAATTTAAATAAATTGTGAATTTTGCATGTAAATAAAGTTTTTATTCTATATGAAAAATAAGTAAACAGGGTGGCGAGTTTTTTTTTAATTTAAATTTCCGGTTTTTCCCGGTCAATTTTATAAAATGGCCCTGTCAAATTTTTATCAACAATTAAACACTATTGTTGTATAATTTTTTAAATAATCAAGAATGAGAACGAAAAAGCATGAAGACAAAAAAAAAGGGGTTAAAAAATTATTTTTTGATCGAACTTTATCTTTTGTTTATTAACAATTGTTTATAAAAAATTGTTTACTAATCCCAAACTGTGGCTAGAACTATTCCTAATTAATGGAATTTTAAAATTATAAAATTTAATACGTTTAAATTAAATTCTTTTTAATTCTATTATTTTTTGTAGTGTTTTAAAAGTCCACTGCTTCTGAAAACGTTAAATTTAAAAAAATCTTAACTTCCGTAATTTTTTAAATCATTGAATTCTTTTAACGAATTCTAATAAAATTTTCAAGAATAATTACATTTTTCGAGGAATTAGAGATCTTATAATAGTTTGAATTTTGAAGAAGAATTTTATTATTTACAAAGATAATTGAAATTTGAAGAGAATTTTTATAAATTTTTGAACATAAATAAATTTCTCATGAAATTTTCTAAAATTTTCAATTAAAACCTTTTGAAGTTCATCTATTTATAAAAATTGTATAGTCGCAACACTTATAGAATTAAATTATATTTGAAATTTACAAGTAAAATTATTCATTAAATGATTTATATGTAATAATTGTATGGTAGCTCTTCAAGAATTAAGTTATTTAAAACAAAATTCAATTGTCTCCAAAAATTCACGTAAGAATGCTTTTAATATTCAATTATTATCTAAAATTTTAACTGAAATTCATTTTTAAATCAATTTTTATTAGAAAATTCTACGAGAATCCAATTATTTAAATACAAATAAAATGCAAATAAATAATTTATTGAATTTCTTCATGTTCCTTAAAATTCAATTTTTTGGACGATTTTTAATAAAATTTTTATGAATAATTACATTTTTCGAGGAATTCGGTTAAAATTGTATTAAAAGTAATTGATATTCTGAGATGAGTTTTATTATTTTTGAAAATAATTGAATTCCTTTTGAATAATTGAATTCTTTTAGAAGAGAACTTTTTTTTTAATTTTTGAATATACTTAATTGAATTTCTGCATTCATTCGTAACTTCTCCATTATTTTTAATAATTCTACAATTTACTCCGAAAGTAGTAAAAAGTTACCAGAAATGCGCAGAAGTTTCTGACAGTTTAGATTTTACTATGCAAATAGTAAAAGTTACTTTACATTTTTCTCCGTGTAAGTAATAATTTTATCATAGTTGTTGAAGAATTAAGTTATTTAAAAAGAAATTATTATCAGAAAGAGAAAAAATTGAAGGCTTTTGTTTTGTATTAGAATTCGTGGTAATTTAATTGTTTATAAGGCAAAGAAAAAAGACAAACATTCAAAATTTTCTTCTGAATTCTAAAATTTAAATTTTTTCCACTACTTTTAATGAAAATTTCTGACTTTTCCCTGACTTCCCTGCCCACGAATGTTTTTGGGGCGAAAATTCCAAATGTGACTAGGACCTAGGATATGTAAGTAATTCTACAGAAAAGTGTATTCACTTAATTAAAAAATGAATGAAAGACCTCTTTGACGTCTTGAAAATGTAACCTTGCCTCTTGTAACCTTGAGAGCAAAACTTGAACCATGACAGTTTGAATGGGGAGAGAGACGATAAAGAAAAAGAAAAAGAAAGAAAAAGAATTAGTTTTGTTTGTAAAATTTGTAAGGCCTAAAGAATGATTCTGCAGTATCTGGTGTGAAAATCTCTCGAGGCGAATCTCGGCTGATTGTAGTTACTCAACGATCAGATCGTGCAGTAGGTGAGAGGCATGAGCCTCTCACAAGTTAAACGGGAACAACCTCATCCTTCCCGGTGCGGTGCGGTGCGGTGGCTCTCCTCCCGAGACTTCTTGCTTCAAGTAAGAAGGTTGCCTTACCATTGCCTTACCAACTAAAAGACAGTGAATTGGAATGGAATAGCAGAGCCGATACTCAGTCTTTCTTGCTGCAACGACCGGTAACCACGCGGCTACCGAGACTGCTCGCGCAAAAGCCACTCCCGATCTAGTGCCGATTTTTGCCGATTATTGCCGGTTCCTTGGTCATTGTCACACCGGGACAATGACGTTGTGTCACGCTCTCATTTAGCAGCAGCGAGTCTTCTTCCCCAGAGAAGAAAAGAAAAGAGAAGAGTCGAGAAGTTCACCTGAGAACTAGGAGAGGAAGATGAAGTTCCTCTGGTCTGTATTCATCCTCGTCAGCGCTCAAGTTCTTCTACCTCTCGCTGGTGAGATATATTCTTCAAATCCGATCTTCCGGTTCAGAGGTTATCGCTCCAGTTATTGACACTCCACCCCATTCTCATCTGCAATTCAAAGAAAATATTACTCTCCGAAATTTATCAACAAATTAATTCTTAGCATCAAAACAATTCACTCTCAACAAAAACAATCGTATTTTCAATTATATTTTTTCTTCTAAAAGAACAATGGATTCGCGTCATAAAAAATTCTCTAATAATAATTATGATTCTTTCACGATACCTGTATCGCGAAAGAATCATAATTATTATTAGAGAATTTTTTATTTAACTATACTTACTCGTTTCGTAGCCCCTGACTAACTTTTTCAAAATCTGTTAGGAATCGTTGTAACCATCGTCTTCCTAGATGAACAGAAATTACAGGTTCTCTGAAGGTTGAAATCGCTAAAACAATAGATTAACTTTTAGCAGATTTAACGTACGAGATTTTATCTTTAACTCAAAAGTATTCACACATAGTAATCATCTTCATTGTGATTTATTACATTGAAGAAAATCTAATTTACCCTCTCGGTAATATTATTATTTTTCTATACATAAATCATTTGGAATTTTCTTTTCTCTTCTTTTTGGGTAATGAAACTTTCAAAATGCTTCAATTTCTATCTGTTTATAAAAAAGATTTTACGAAATAACAAGACTGATTGAGGTCTGATAAATAACAACTGATTTAAAATAACAAGCTGTAATGTAAACCAATTGAATTTCACGCAAAAGGAACGAAGTTTAATTAAATCTAAGCTCATAAAACAAACAGGTGCCAATAACTGTTCAAAAAAAAAAAAATAAATAAATTGTCTATTTGTTTCTTTTTAGTTTTTGTTAATTATTACTTTCTTAAATTAGAGGATTTTTTCTCTAAATATTAGGTAAATAATAAGGGTATTTTAATTTTCAAAAAGTAAGTTTGGGAATTTTTAGTAATAAATTAGTACAACAGGGTATAAAATTTATTTTAAAGATTTTTTTACTTTTTATTCTAATTAGTTTTTTTAAATCAAATTTTTTCTTCTTCTTGTTGACATTTTTTTTCCAGATTCGGTAATTTTTCTTTAAATTTTTAATCAAGATTTTTGTTACAACGTTACTTTTGTTTTATAATTCCGTAAATTTTCCGTTATTCTTAATTTACACTGAAAAAAGTGTATTTGATTCAAATAATCGGTTACTTGTCTATTATTAAGTAAATATTTGGTTGTATCAATTAATTATTATTTGGTTAATTATTATTTCCAAATGAATCTTATTTGAACAAACAATTCTTGAAACAAATACTATTTAACTGATTCAAAGAATAATTAATTGGCAAAAATAAATATTTATTTTGATAATTGACAAGTAATTGATTATTTGACTAAGATAAATTGTTTTCAGTGTACGATAAGTGAATTTCAGTAAAAAATTAGTAAAATTTACTTCGGACTTGGTAAAATTTCCTTAAAAAATAGTCAAATTTACTATTAAAAATTGTTATTTCCAAAGAAAACTTTTACAATTCCCGATAAAAATTTCTTTATAGAAATTGTAAAGATTTTCTTGAGAAATAGTAAAATTTGTTAATTGGAATTAGCATTTTAATTTTTTTAATAACATTTTAATGTTCGAGGAAAATTAAAAAATTTTTTATATAAAAATAAACATTTAAAACTGTAAAATTTGCTATTAAAAATCGTTATTTCGGGAGAAAATTTCGTAATACCCGAAAAGGACATTTCAATAAAAATTAGGAAAATATATTTTCAATAAAATTTATTTTGGAATTAGTACAAGTTTACGTAAATTCAAAATAGTTTTAGTTTCATCTCGTAAATAGTGAAAATTACTGTTTGTTACCTCGTATAAAATTTGTTTAAGTTTTTTTTAAGTTTTTTATAATATTTAAGTTTAAAAACCCTGAGGAAATAATACAAAAAGATTAATAAATTTCAAGATACTAATATTTTTCCAAAGTTACAAAAAAATGACAATTTTCTTAGAAAAAAGGAGACGATTTTTATGATTTTTGGTATTTTAGAAAATTTTATTAATTTAAGGGGATGTAAAAGTGAGAGAGAGGAAAAATAGGAACGAAATGTGATCTTAAAATTAAATGATAGCTTTAGACCAAGTTTCCAAAAATTAGGTATAATAGTTATAATAATTAGGTATAGCAGTAGTTTACAATTAGTAAATTTTAAATGTAGTAGAAATTACTATTTATCAGTAAAATTACTAATTCAATAGAAAAAGTCAATAATTCAAATTAGCAAACATTTTTACAAATTCAAATTTAGAAAGTAGCTATAATATTTCGTATTTTATAATTTTATAACTGAAACAATATTTTTACTTACGTGCGGAACAAGTTTTTTTTTTATCAAAGACACTTAGATTTTGACCACTAAACTTGTTTCTATAAAATTGAGATGTGAAAAGTAAACAATAATTTTTAAAATTAAAGAAAAATAGAAGAAATTCTTTAAAATACGCACAGAATAACTTTTTTGAAGAGCCAATCTTTCTCCTGCCGAGTGTTTAGAACTTTTCTCATGCAAAGAGAAAGAAAACCGCGTTTAACCGCGAAAACCGCAAGCTTAGGAAATAGACTTATTAGATCTTGTAATTTTCAATGGCTAATGGAAAAATCATTATGCGCGAACATCAAATTACATTTTTTCATAATGTGAGACTTTTAAGCAAAATGCACGAATTTAATTTGCGTTACACAAACGGAATTGCTATTATTTTTCCCCTTCAAAACGACATTTAATTTTTCGAAAATAAGTTATAGTGTAAATGAATTTTTCAAGAAGAAGAAGAAGAAGAAGAATATTTGAAGAATTGAATTCTATTAGTGAATTATTTGTCGACTTTAGTAGGTAATCTTGTGTTCAAAGCAGAGAGAAGATGGAAGACGTGTGTGTGTGTGTGTGTGTGAGAAAAAAGAAAAAAAAATAAAAAAAGAGAAAAAAAGTGGAAAATTCTGTCAAACGAATTGCCGTGTATTTTGATTTTCTTTCTACAACTCAACCGTCTTTCTGTGGTAGTTGTTTTACTATTTCAGCAAATCATAGTTTCTGCCTCTACGGCTCTTTAGTTTCTTTCCATCTCAGTGGATTTTACGCGGCACTAGAAGGAAATGGATGATTATTAAAGGCAAAGAAAGAAAAGGGGAAAAAGGAGTCTGCCTCTAGAAATACAAGGCTGCACTTGTTTATAAAGACGCTCAACTTCCATTTCATAATTTTCCGCTTCTAATATACATTAATATGCATAAACATTTATAACTAAAGAACAAACGGGGCTTTTCAGCTTGTTTTTTTGGCGGATATATTTGAATCTTGCTTTTCAATAAATATTGAAATTATACGAGCGAATTTAATTTTGATTTTGTGTCAAGTGCACGTAAAAGGGAGCAATAATGTATAGTAATATTGTCCGACTGGTTAGTAAACTAAATGAATGCGAGAAAGCTTTGCTTAATAAGGTAAGGGTTTGTTTGCCATCAAACACACCACCCGCTTTTGGACTCATCGCTACTGCGATTATGTTTAATAATCTGCCTGATGGTGTCCTCTAATATTTAGTTAGTCAACGGACAAAGCATTGTCGAGAAAATTCTAAATTAATCATAAAAAAGTAATGTCACTTCTACATACAAATGAATTAAATTATATCTTTTATTTCAGTTATTCATTATTTAATATTAATTCAATTCAAGAAATTATCAACAATTGCTTAATCTATCAAGAATGTCGATATAATTTAACTAACAAATGAGAATTCAAATCAGAATCAATGGAATTTTGCAATTTTACAAAAATTCTATTGTCGCACTTTGTTAACTTTGTCAACTTTGTCAATGACTCATATAAAGTGCAATTAGATGGATTTTAATTAAATTTTCTCTTAAAAAAAAAGAAAAAAAAGAAAAAAAAGAAAAAAATGAGAAAATAAAATTGAAATGAGAATTTTCCAGAGTTTTGTCTCTTAAACTGCTTTTCTATCCCCGACAAGGTACACATAAAGCATCCTTATTGCGAAACGTGCCTTATGCTAATCTGAGGCTGGGATCAAATCGCTCGATATCAATGAGGGACTTAAGGAGGACGAGGTTGAGAGATCCTTGAAGTTGAATTATTCTCTCCAGTTCCAGAACCAGATCGAGTGCAATTGCAAATAGTTCGCATCGAACGATCAAGCCTTTCGAATCGGTTCACGCGAGAGAGCGAGAGTCATGTTGATCGTGAATTTTTGTGTTTTTTACTCTGGAAAAATATTTCCCTCTGTGTGTGGATTCATGAGGGATTCCGGTTGAAGGGTGAGAGCAAAATAATATTGCGAATTCAGCGGAGAGGATCCTCGACGTTGCTAAATCGGCAATAAACAATATACTTGCTTGCAAATCGACTGGCGCGGCGCGGCGCGGCGTATTAAGCCAACTAACTTGATGTGCTCAAATTAAAAAATACTCAAAGATGAAAATTTCAATTACTTCATTTTATTTTTAATTGATTTTCACTCAAAGATTAAAAGATCTTCACTTCCCATTTCCAGACGCAGACACATTTCACTTTTTCCTGACCTTAAAAGATTGTTCAGGGTTTGCCACAAAAATTTAATTTTTTAAATTTAAATCCCCTGATTTCCAGAGAAAATTTTCACTTTTTCCCTGACCCTAAAGAATATTCTGATTATTCACTCTCAAAATTATTAGCTGATACTCAAAAAATTTTTAATAAATATTTAATTTTTTTTTCCATAGGAGTTAAAATTCTTAAAAAGATTCAAATTCAAACCTTTTTGAAATTCAGTAACTTATAAGAATATTATTATAAAACATGAAGATATCGATAAATCCGAGTCTTCGACTCGGAGTGATGGCTTTCTTCATGTTTTCTAATAATTAAAGATGTATGAGTGATAAAATCACTATTTTTATTATATTAGAAGAATATTGTTACTGTAACTTCTTCAAAATTATT